TAAATAAATAAATAAATAAATTCCCGGACAATGAAAGATGAGGGGTGAGGAAAGCAGTATGTATTCATGGGTGGATGGGTTGTGTGCGTGTGTGAATCAATGGAATCTGCCTTTTAAAATGTTGTGAGAAATGTGTGGGAATGTCTGTCAAGCCTTACATGCCAGCAGTTAAAGCAAGGTCTGGGGAGCTACACAGGTTGTGCACCTTGATTTATGTCATAACAAATGTTTTCATCTTCAAGGAACCACAGGACTTTTACTCTTCATATCATTTTTGCTGCAACTGGCTAATACTATTGTTAAGGGCTCGGAGGTCCGCCCCAACAATGAATTTATATCCAAGATTCTGTGTGGAGGAAGAGGCTCGCGTGGCTGGTCAGGAAGTTTGCAAAACCAGGCGCCCAAATAAACTTGACTCTTGTTGAGAGCGCTAGGCACTTGGAGACGGCGAGGCGGAGCTTCTTTCGCCGCGCTCTGGCCTCCAGGCGGCAACAAGTCTTGAGCCCAACCCGGTCTCCGTTTATAAACAGCGAAGGAAGGGCCGACCAGCGTCGCTTCGCCCGCACACCGCCCGCGGGGTTGTTGTTGGATTCTGAGGCGCTGCTAGAAAGCGGGAGGAGGAGGAGGAGGAGCAGCAGCAGCAGCAGCAGCGGCGGGAGGGAATCCCCAGAGCGGGAAGAGCCGCTTCTGAGGGAGGAAGGGAGGGGGGAGCGGGCAGGAGGCGGCGCGGAGGGAGGGCAGGCCGACTCCGGGAAGCGGTGCTCCGCGCTGGGACTGGTTCCTTCGCAGCCATTTTCTGTCCAACCAAACAGCCGATTTGCGGAGGGAGCCAACCAGGGCCGCACTGGAGGTTTGTGCCTGGCTCCGGCCAATGATTGGTAACCGGTTTCACTGCAGGCTCGAATGAAATGTCCGTCTCCCTCCCCGGGCTCCGGCGTTGCCGCCGCGCCGTCGCTGAGGGGACCAGGAAGTGCGGGGAGCAGGAGAAAGGCAGCGCCAGGGCGAGAAAGCGAGAAAGAGGGAGCGAGCGGGCGAGCGAGCGGGAAGGCAGGCAGGCAGGCAGCGAGAGCAGACCCTGAAGCGCGGGCCTGGCCCCGCTCCCGCCTGCCCGCGTCTTTGTACTCCTCCTGCTGCCGCCAAGAGGAGGAGGAGGAGACAACGGCGGCAGGAGGGACGCCGCGGGCTGCCTGGCGGCCGCTGCCTCATCCCTTAACCAGGGGAGGAAAAAAACGAAAACAGACGGGGTGGGGGGAGAGAGGCGGCGGCGACAAAGGCCCGTGAGGCGAGATGGGGAGCGGCTGCCGTGACAGGACCCGTGAAGAAACGGGGCGCGAGTATGGCCACCGCGGGCGAGGCGGCGGCGGTGGAGGGGGGGGGGTTTGTCTGTTGGCGTCGAAGCAGGGAGGGGTGAAGGAAGCGCCGTTCCGGCCTCCTCGCTTTCCGCTCTCGCGAAGGGGACGCTGAGGGATCCGTAGGGTCGCCCGGGGAGGTGGGGCGGAGAGGTGGGGGACGCCTCTACCTCACACGTCCACGATGTGTGTGTGTTTTTAAAGAGGCTCTTCTAAAAGCCGTGGCCGCCTTTTTCTTTCTGCAGTCCCGGCCAAAGCCGCCGTCGCCGCCTTTTTAAACCCCCCCCCTTGCCTGGGCTGGCGCGGAGTCTGTTTTCTGCAGGCCGGCTTTTGTCTGTTCTTGGCGCGTCTCCTTAAGTGAATGGGGTCGGTCGGGGTGGGTAGGTGGGAGAGTATCTGCCTGCCCGATTGCTGCACCACGGTGGGGAAAGTCTGGGGGGGACACCCCCCCATGATCTCCTTCCTCGGGTTGGGGGGAGGTTAGACGTTGTCGGAAAGCGGCCCTCCTCCCCCTTCGAGGAGCTCCCGGTCCTGTCTCGGATCTGGACACGTAAGAACCCGAAAGGTGGGTGGGTTTTGCGGCGTCATGATCTAGATGTCATTTCACTTTCGAAGAGTGTGCGCTTGTGTTTTGTTTTTCCCATCACTCTGCCAATGATCTCTTGTTTTATGGGTCTCAGATATATGGGCTTCTCTCTTCCCTCTCCCCGTCTTTTTTCCCCCTCATCTCAAACCATTTTTCCATCTCAAACCTTGTCCCTGTGTACAGTGCCTTCTTGTACATTGTAGCTTAACCGTCTTTTTAAGTCACGGAGTTAGGGATGTTGTTCGTGGAAATCTGAGAGCGTTGGCCCAACTCCTGGAAAAAGACATTGCCCTGTATCTGCAGACTTTTTCTTTGCTTGCTTAGTTTGAATGTCTACACATGTGACTAATCGAGTATGACTCTCAGAGTGCATAGTTTGCTCCCATGAAGTGTGGATTTTTTTTTAAAAAAGGAATTCTCTAAATTTAAAAAAAATAGTGGGAAAATAGTTGTGTGGATTTGCCTATTCTAAGTTTCTTGTTTAATTAAGGGCAGAATATGTTTTTCTTTAAAATTGTAATTATAGTTACTATGGTTATAGTAAAATGCTTTTTGAAAAACAATTCTACTCAGAGAATTTTATAGGAACAGTCAGGTTGGCTGGAAAACCTGTGCTCTATCAGTGGCCTTTGATTAATTCAGGAAAGTTATCTGCAGAACATTGGGATATCAGTGACAGAACTCGTAGCCTTAATAGAAATGCAAATGCAGTAAAACAATAGAGCAAACTACATCTGAAATGCATAGTGATTCAGAATTCACCTTCATTGAGTTTGGCAGATGTTACTTCCATCTATAGGGTTGCAGCCCAATTGGCTAAATTAGATGAAGGAACTCAGATATACCATAGTGGATTACTGTGTGCAGAATAACTGCACAGAAAATAATCTGGTTGATTGAAATCACTTCAATCAGCTCTAATAATTTTTGAGAGCAGCATCTAGAGTAAATGGTTGAGAATGCAGAATTAACGTAATGCAGATTTTGAGTAGTGCAGAAGTAAATGAATGTTTCATTGCTGCAAGGCTTTAAGTGGAAATTACCTAGTGGAAGATAGTGATTTCCCCTTCTCTCTTATGCTTGGCCTTTATAATGCAGTAATATTCCTTTCACTATTTGTAAATAATATACTTAGACTTTGTTGGGTGGTAGTGGATGACATGTTGAGAATTAATTGTGTTTTGCACTTCTCAGTTCAAAACTGAATTTTTTTTTAAATTCAGGGATTAAATAGCAGTACTTTTATCTGTTAATATTTATCTAAGGCCTTAGGGCAAGTCTGAATGTTGTCTGGCCTGGTATGGTTTTTTTTTTTTTTTTGGATGTGAAAACAATGATTTTTCAAATGCAAGTTAAACTAGTGATATCTAGAAAATTTTTAACGATTTAGCAGTGCATATCTTCAGCATATCCACTTATTAGTGAAAACAAGCCTGCTTTGCAAATTATAGTTAGAAGTTGAGTTGTCTTCTCTAGCCATACTTAATGTTAACTAAGTTTGACATGGCAGACTACAGTTAATAAAAAGTGGAAGCAAAAACTTTTGAATTCCTTATGGTATCCATAGAGGGGGAGTGGAGGGAGGTGTACAAGCCATGCAGGGTGGGGGGTTATTTGTTATTGATGAATTATGAGCTAGTATTACATTCAAGCCAGCACATTAAGGATTGCATAACTGGAACTGTTTTGCTTTTGTTTGGTTTTTTAAGTCACGTATTTGGTACTAGAATTGTAGCAAAATATTATTGTATACACATTTCTGAGCTTCTATTGATGAATACAGTACTATGACAGCAATGTGGGACGTGGTGGCGCTGTGGGTTAAACCACAGAAGCCTCTGTGCTGCAAGGTCAGACGACCAGCAGTCGTAAGATTGAATCCACGCGACGGAGTGAGCTCCCGTCGTTTGTCCCAGCTCCTGCCAACCTAACAGTTTGAAAGCACGTAAATGCGAGTAGATAAATAGGTAGCACCACGGTGGGAAGGTAACAGCGTTCCGTGTCTAGTTGTGCTGGCCACGTGACCACGGAAACTCTCTACGGATAAACACTGGCTCTACTACAGCTTAGAGACAGGGATGAGCACTGCGCCCTAGAGTCGGACACAACTGGACTAAATGTCAAGGGGAACCTTTACCTTATGAGTGCAAGCTTAAGTGAACAATAGGTAACCATGGCTAATTACAGTGAAACTTATAGCATGTTATAATTTTCCTCAGGTTCGGGTCAATAAACCTGAACTAGCTCCCTGGAAACATATATTTTTGTTACATTATGGACTAGAATCTGGAAAAAATTATTGAGGAATCCTGTCTGTGAATAATTTTTTTGTAGGATAGTTTCCTAGGATAAAGATTTAGTCACTGTAGAATGGTGACATATAACTACTGTATAGTTATTTGTGATAAAGGAACGGAATAGAACTGCTGTATAGCTCAATGGTTTAGGTATCTGACTACAGAACCAGAGATTGGAAGTTCCATTCCCCACTGTACCTCCTTGACAGGGGTTGGAGATGATCCATCTCTTTCAGATCTGCACTTTCTGTTGTTATTATTATATTGGCTACAGTGGCTTGTAGAAAGCAAAATAATTATTCAAAAGAATAGTGTATCCTTAAAATTTTGATGAGATAAATTATTTAAAATATTACTTATTTATAGAAATGAATCCTTGTGGCTTTATACACAGCCAAATGTGATAAAATATATGCAGTTTTATCAGTTATAGCTTAAACTTTAGCATGTGCAGATACTGTAATAAATGGTGTTAAGTATAAATTTTAAAAGTGAACCAGAAGTGCAGGTAACATTTGCTAAACCTGTCTACAATGCTCAGTTCTTTCTATTGAGTTCTAGTGTAGGATTGTCATAGTGTTAACAGAATGCTACAGAGCAAATTAAAATAATATCACATAGGACATGAGAACTTGAATGCTGAGCTTGGGTCCTATAATGAGATTTCAATAGTAAACTCTTTGAAATAATTGCAAAGTTCTTACTATTCTTAGTTATGAAACTTGTGCCACAGTTTTTATTTTGACCTCATGCTTATCCTGAAGCAGCGCTAAAGTAGGAAAGAGGTCAGTCCAGCAAGTTAATATTTAAAAGGGAAATAGACTGTTTTTCTGAAGAATTCTTGTGACTTCATAAATAATGAGCTTCATTGTACAGAACATAGTATTTTCAGAAGTAATTATTCAGGATAATTTAGCTGGTATATATGCTTTTTAAGTGCAATAATTGGTATGTATCTTACAGTTCTTGTGTGGATAATGTGAAATTGGTTGTTCTCTTAAATCTGTGGAGAGAGAGTTGGAAAATGGAGTAAAATAGGCTGTTTTTCTCACTAAATTTGCCTTTTGCAGCCTGATGTCCTACAGATGTGGTGGAGTACATCACATTTAATTACTAAAGCAAACACATCTAGAGGGTGCCAGGTTAAGAAACTTTTCTGGATGACAGATAAAGATAAAAAAATTTCAGAATTCCACTCCACTTTACTAAACATTGCACCCTTCAAAAACAAAATTTATACAGTATTTAATTTGGATCTTAACATATACATCAGCTATAGACATATAAATAATATTACAGTTCTGTAACACTTGCACTTTGCTTAATCTTGGCTATCTGTCGTTTAATTCCTTATTCAGACTATACTAATTATTTGTGATTATGTGTAATATATACTAATGTTTTTATTCCAGATGGACGGTGATAGCTCTACAACAGATGCTTCTCAGCTGGGAATTGCTGGAGATTACATAGGTGGTAGTCACTATGTGATACAGCCTCATGATGGTAGGTAATTATTGGTGCAAACCATGTTAGTCCTTACAGCTACTTTTTCACTGGGGTTTGGGTTTGGAGATCTATAGGCAAGGTTCCCTCTAAGATGCACAGCTGTGCAAGCGACTCTGTCCTCCTCCGCGCACTGACAGCAATCATTTTCAGCCCCTTGGGTTCTGGTTTTGACAGAACCCTATGCGGGGGTCGTGCACACAGGAGTGAAGTTGCAAGAAAGAGGCAGAGCTCCACCTAGCAGAGTTGAAAATTAGAGGGAATGTTGCCTATAGGAGATGAGCCAACATTTTGAGATCTGTCAAGATGCTGTAGTGAACTCACGTATGTAACAGGAGACTAAATCATAAGATTGGAAGGTAGCTCTGGATTGTGACCAGATGTGTCCTACCAGTAGGATACTGTCAGAATCTCTTTTCTGCCTGTAATGGTTTTCCATCTGTGCATTTTTGTTTTCTACAAGAAGCCTTTTTGCCTCCATTAGCCCATAGAAGGAGTAGCAAACCACTTCTGTGTAATAGATAATCGTGGAAAGGGTCACCATAAGCTGAAATTGACTTGATGGCACTCAAGTATCATTATTATTATTAATTGCTTACCTTGCTCATTAATTACATTGGTATCATTTTGGACTTTGTGCTACTTTTCCTGACCTTCCAAATTCATTCTGACAAGTATTTGTTGTCATGGTTTAGAATAACCCTTAGCATTTGGCTCTCTTGAGTTTGTCTTTCAACTTCCTTTTTGCCAGCCTCTTAATTTTGGAGACGGTTCTTCTGCTATAGTTATCTGCCTGCAGGTATGTTGAATTTGGTGGCATTGTGGTTTCTGTTTCCAGATAGTTAAATCTTTCACCAGGTTCTGCAACTTTATCTAGTTCAGATTAAGTCCATCACTTCACCTCTGGTTAGTTCTGTGATTAACTTTGGTACATTAGTTGGGGTGGTGGTGTAAATTACACTGCTTTATGCTGGAGCACTAATTTACCCCATTTGTGTATTGGAGTAATTGAAGTCATTCATTAGACAGACTTTGTTGTCTGGGTGCCTCCCAGCATGTATCCTCCAACTCAAGATCATCACCCTGACTGTCTTGGTCAAGGGGCCAACAATATGTCTCCAGTTTAAAAGTACTGTTCAGTTGTGGCATTGACATGCATGGTGATTCTGTGCATGAGTCTGCCCTTTTAAGATTTCTTGTTTATTTAACTGTACAGAGTGATGCTATCTCTAGTACAGTGGGGTCTCTACTTAAGAACGTCCCTACTTAAGAACAATCCAACTTAAGAACAGCTCCATTTGCTAAATTTTGCTTCTACTTGAGAACAGAAATCCAAGATAAGAACAGGAAAAAAAACCTTTCCTGCTCTTTTTTTAACCTTAGGTCATCTTAGGTTAAAAAAAATTCTCCCCCTAGTGGTAGAGTACGTATTAACCAGCTTTGCATTAGTTCCTATGGGAACTAATGCTTCAATGTACGAACGCACCTCTACATAACAAAAAAACAGCCAGAACGGATTAATTGGTTTTCAGTCCATTCCTATGGGAAATTTTGCTTCAACTTAAGAACGTTTCAACTTAAGAACACCATTCCAAAACGGATTAAGTTCTTAAGTAGAGGTTCCACTGTAGTTTCTATGGACGGAAAAGAGCAGATACGGATTAAATGGTTTTCAATGCATTCCTATGGGAAATGCAGATTCAACATAAGAACTTTTCAACTTGAGAACCACCATCCAATACGGATTAAGTTCTTAAGTAGAGACCCCACTGTATGCCCTTCTCTGTTCTATCTGTAGAGTTTGTGCCCAGAGTACCATACCTGTTTTCATTCCATAAGGTTTCAGTTACACTCTTTATATCCTGTGGAACTTTTTCGAAAAGGTTCTAACTCCTTTTCTTGGTATGAAGGCTTGCAGCATTAGTGTATATGCAGTGTTCCCCTCCAAACATCTCTGGCTCATGCACTGTTCCATGCATTGTCCATGGTCTACGATTGACCAATCTGCTTTTTGCTCATTGAGTCTACCCCATCTCCATTTGGAGGAGTAGAAACATTAATTGTTTAAGTCGTCCTGAATGGAATGTTCCATAGCTTATGTCCGCTTTCATTGTGCTTACTTAAAGTAAAATTTAAAGTTTTATTTAGGGCACGTAGCTGGAAGTAAAGTTTGTTATGTGCTGTCAAGTCACTTCTGACTTATGGCGACCCTGTGAATAAGAGCTCTCCAATGTCCTGTCCTCAACAGCCCTGATGAGCTCCTGTAAACTCAAGCCTTTGGCTTCTTTTAGGGAGTCAATCCATCTTGTGTTTGGTCTTCCTCTTTTCGTGCTGCCTTCCACCTTTCCCAGCATTGTAGTCTTTTCCAGAGAATCCTGCCTTCTCATGATGTGCCCAAGGTACTTGGACTGAAAAATATTTGAATTGGATGCTGTGGTTTCATATTTCATTGCTATGGGTTTGATGTGGCCCTCTAGTTTGTATTGATGTTTGTTCATTTTTGGGAGAGAAATGTAATCAGTTTGAGACAAGAAATCTTGCACTATTTAAATTTGAGCAGCTTGTGGCCCTGTGTATGTTGTTGGATTGTACTCCATGAGTTCTGACCAGCATAGCCATTGTTGAAGACAGCATGTTCAATGTCCCTGTTGAAACTTTAAGTGAAGATATTCATTCATTCATTCATTCATTCATTCATTCATTCATTCATTCATTCATTCATTCATCTCCTGCCCATCTAATACCTAATCATTGCTTTGGGCAGCTAATAGCAATTAAAAGCACAACTACCGTCTTTCCCCAAAAATAAGACATGGTCTTATATTAATTTTTGCTCCAAAAACGCATTAGGGCTTATTTTCAGGGGATGTTTTATTTTACATGTCATCTTCTGGTTGCTGCACAATGGTGGAGGCAGGGTTTCACTTAACTAGGGCTTATTTTTGGGGTAGGGCTTATATTATGAGCATCCTGAAAAATCATACTAGGACTTATTTTCTGGTTATATCTTATTTTCGGGGAAACAGGGTACCCACCCAGTCCACAAAGACATAAATAATGAGTTCCAGACCAAAGCAGCAGTAACCTAAGTAACCCAGAATGGCGGGGGACCTCTGAAACTGGCGCTGGCTACAAGGGGGGGCGTGGCAAAGCGGAGCTTTCAGAAGCCTCCCGGGGCTTGCCCGGCACATAAAAAGGCAGGAGGAAAGCACCATGTTTGAATTTCCTGCTTTTTCCCCTGCCTTTTTCTGTGCTAAGCAAGCCCCAGGAAGCCTCTTAGACCCACCACCGATCAGCTGAGAGGCCGGGGGGGGGCAGGAGCAGAGACTACCACCAAATGGCTGCCACCTCCCTGATGGTTGCTGACTCTCAGCTGTTTGGCACTTTTTTTCCGGGTGTTCCGGGGCTACAAAGGCACTGTGAGGAACGGGGCTCAATCTACTGTACTTTTTGCTGACTTTTGGGGGGTGGGTCTGACTTTTTTCCCCATAGGAAAATTAATTAAATTTCAATGCATTCCTATAGGAAAACATGTTTTGCAAGACGAAATGTTCACTAGAAGGCATTAACCACAGAATGGATTAATTTTGTCTTGCGAGGCACCACTGTATAGATCTATCAGCATGTGCAACTAATATTTGTTTGTGTTTTTTTAGATACAGAGGACAGCATGAATGATCATGAAGACACAAATGGCTCGAAAGAGAGTTTTCGAGAACAAGATATATACCTTCCAATTGCAAATGTGGCAAGGATAATGAAAAATGCTATACCTCCCACAGGGAAGGTAATATTTTGAAATATTTTCTAGCATTATACATTTCATATGGATGATCCAGAAGCTTGGATTTTGTAATATTTTTGAAAACAATGGGTTTTTAGGTTCCATTCAGTGGCCCCTTAAGACAAAATGTGGACAGATGCTTCAGGTGCTATGGTATGCTGGGAACAGCAAATACATCTTGCTGATGTAGTTCTCCTTATCTTCATCTTGTCCAGAAAAGAAATTTTGCTTAGCATGCATGAGCTTCCATTTTTCTGAATAAATAGTAGTGGGTTTTTATTTGTAGCTTCTTATGTAGAACAAAAGCTAATAAATATTTTTGATAAATTGGAATGATTAATTGAATAATTTTACATCTCATTTGTTCACCTTTTTGTTCTGACTAATTATCTGAAAATGTTTAATTGTTTTGATAATCTTTCTAGGATGTACTGGATGTATTCAGATGGAATTCAGAGACAGTATTGACTTACCATATATAAAACATATATTTTTAGATTGCTAAAGATGCAAAGGAGTGTGTTCAAGAGTGTGTAAGTGAATTCATCAGCTTTATAACATCAGAAGCAAGTGAGAGGTGTCATCAAGAAAAACGGAAGACTATAAATGGGGAAGATATTCTCTTTGCTATGTCCACCCTGGGATTCGACAGCTATGTTGAACCTTTAAAGTTGTATCTTCAGAAATTCAGAGAGGTTTGTAATAATTTTTCTCATTTGCAACAATTTCCAGGAACTTTTCTTTTTTAATTTGATTATATTTGTATTATTTCTTGTATAAGAGTCTGGGTGAGTGAACATTAAGAGAAATGCAAATAGAGATAGTGTATCTGACAATCTGCCATCTATATTTTATTACTGTAGTTTAGATCTATAATTAAATTCATATCTGCATTGTAGCTGTTTCTGTGTTTGTCATGGCTGAGAAGCTGAACAAATTACAAGACAGAAGCAACAGCTGTTACCCACTTGCCCTCTTATAAAGGGGCTTTCTGCTGTTCTTTTCATCTGCCATCCCATCACGAGTTAAACTCTACTTGGGCATTATGCCTGAAAACATGTAAACTGCTGTACATGATAGGGATGCGTGAAATACATTCACCCACAGCAATCAGCCCCCTATAAGCCAGATCTTCAGATAGTGAACATAAAGGCTTAAGAAGAAGATGTAAGTATATGTCACCAAATGCGGTTGCAGAGCTCCCACAATCAGGAATCGTGATAAGATGTGGTTCTGGGAGCTCTGTAAGAGTGTTCAACTGAGTTTTCTTATAAGGCCCTGTACTCACATCCAAAAGTCCACCTTCTGAGGGCTGTTGGGATCAGTACATCTGTTTACATATCTTCATCTTCATCATGTAGCATTCTGGGCATTATGGAAATATGAGATGCAGTATGGAGGATCAGGAGGCTGTGGTTGCTCTTCCTCGTTGCTGTAGCTTGCTTGCCTTCTTACTGTAGAGTGTAGGTTAGGGTTGAGTGGTGCATAGGCAAGTGGTCATTAGTTCCTTGTAGTGCCAGAATGACCCATCTCTGCCTGTTCCTCCTCTTCACTCTGTTAAGTATGATGTTGCCTTTGGAGTGAGTTTCAATGTGTATATATGGCGTGTGTTGACACTGGTTCCGTCCCATCTTAATGGGCTATATCACACGTGCAGAAAGAAACAACTGGAAGGACTTGGCACAAATCAACACTAATTCTTAGTGTACAAATATGTGTAATTACAGAATTCTTAAAAGCCTCTGTTGAAAAACATGCTGCTTTGAACCCAGATAGCTATTCCAAAATCGATGCAACTGGATTTTAGCAATTTCAGATGTTTGTATCTGCAATACAAATTATTATTATGCTTTTTCCCCAGGCCATGAAGGGAGAAAAGGGTATTGGAGGAGCAGTTACCACAGCAGATGGCCTTAGTGAGGAGCTCACAGAGGAAGCATTTAGTAAGTATCTTATGAAATTGCTGGTATGGCTTTGGATATCATTGCTTAGCTGATACTTTGGCGGTAGTTTTATAGGCAGTCCACCAGGTATTGCTGCCATGCTGTTTGTGTGGGAGAAATTGAAAGGAGCTTTGTGTCATTTGTGTACCAAGTTTGTCATCATCATCATTTTAGAACTGCAGAGCTGGGAGGCACCCTATGGATCATCTAGTCTAGCCCCTATAAGAGGTCTGTTGAAATGAACTGGAGAATTTGCCTTGTGGCCTTTACACCCTTTGAACTGGTTCATAATGCATGGACATCATTTGTTCTCATCAGATCTAGTCAAAATCTCAAGACTAACAGGTGAATGTGAGAATCAGTTAAAATTCGTGTTATGAAAATTCTGCTTTTATTGTGTGATCGCTGAAAATTGTTGATGTGCAAGTCATCAAGAGTTGGATAGGCACACATGAACCAGCGTCGATGGGTTAAATAAATACATGGAAGCACTGTCACTGTGCATCTGTCTCAGGCAGAAAAGATAAGATCTTTTGTGCTTAACTCAGAGTTTCAGTCATGATCAAATATGTCTAGCAAGGACTTGTCTTGGCTTAATGCCAAATTGAGCATGGGATGCGTACTTACCAGGACCTGTAGAACAAGAAGACAGTGCCGCAACACTGTCTTGTGGAAGGTGCAGAGAGGAGCTTCATGATAAATCATCAACTTAGAACTGCAGAGCTGGAAGGGACGCTATGGATTATCAAGTCTAGCTCCCATCAGGGAAGCAGTGGAGAATTGAACTCCCAACATCTGGCTCCACAGCCAAATACATATCTAAGCCACTGAACTATCCAGCGCATATCAGGTAGCATTCTGGCAGGATCTTGTTCAGTTGAGCTGCTTGTGCAGCAGACTTCAGTGCAGGCAGTTTGACATTTGTGCTGCTTATGCAAATAGGCACCAAGTATCTCCATGCACTAATATAAGCAGAGGGCTCCCATGGAGAAGTATTGTTTGCATAAAGACAACATTTTGCACAGGTGGCCTGAGCCTGTGTTGTTCCATTCATGAGGCTTTCTTGCAGAATTTCAGTAGGATCCTAGTCTTTGAAACTGTCCTTGCTCATGTGTATAGTAGAGTTGAGTCAGTTTGTAGGCATATCCTATTGCTCTACAAAGTAAAGTAGCCTACTCAGGTTTTGGATTATGGAGTAATTAAAACTATAATTCTTCATAATTTGGCTGTAATGTGGGTAACACGGTTACATAGTACAGTGGTGCCTAGCATTATGATCGCTTCCTTTAACGACGAAATCGCATTACGATGAACTTTTTGCAATCGCAAAACAATTCCTACAGGGGCCGATGAACTTTTTGCGATCGCAAAACAATTCCTACAGGGGCATCTCGCTTTGCAATGATCAGTTCCCTGCTTCGGGAAGCAATTCTTCGCAAAACAACTATTTTCCAACAGCTGATCGGCGGTTTCAAAATGGCCGCCGGGTAAATAAAATGGCTCCCTGCTGTGTTTAGGGACGGATTCCTTGCAAGATAGGCAGTGAAAATGGCCATCCTATGGAGGATCTTCGCTGGACAGTGAGTTGTAAGCCCATCGGAACGCATTAAACAGGTTTTAATGCGTTTCTATGGGCTTTTAAATTTCGCTTTACAATGTTTTCGTTCTACAGCAATTTCGCTGGAACGAATTAACATCGTAATGCGAGGCACCACTGTAGATGTAATTAAAGAAGTGGTATACCATATTTGGTATTTATCAGAAACTTTGAGGATTAGATACAGATTTAGTTGTGTGCATCTTGGCAGGCCCTGCAGCTAGCCTCCTGGTTGCTGTACAGAAAATGAAAGAAATCTGTTGAATGGGGTAGGCTGCTGGACAGGGAAGAAGGACGGATTTCTGGACGTTGAATGGAGACACTTCCATGGTTTCCTCCTCTTGGCATCCCATTCAGTAAGGTTTCCAGACCCCATGTAGTATATTCAGGAGACTGCAGGGACCGCCCAGAGAGGAAGGATTTTAAAAAAAAATCCCTATTTCTGCCAGTCCTGTTCCACACATCTGAGTTCAAATAATTATTTTTAATAGCATTTTTGTTGATTTAAATGAAGGGCTATGTGAAGATTGCTGATGAGAGGAAGTGGATATGTATCTTTGGAATCTATCTACTTTTCTCAGAAACATATTGTACACTGTATGAGAGGTTTATTGCACTAGATAGCATTTGCCTTGCTGAATGGATTACATGGGTGTATTTAAGATTGTCTGGCAGACACCCTGGAAAACACAGGCAATCTGTAAACAAGTAAATGTAGTACTTTCCAGGAAAACGTTTGGCAGTGAGAAACCACTTGCTTCCATTGAGGTGTATTGTACATGCTGGAATAGCCATGCTGCGTTGAAAGCTGAAAAACACTGGCTGAAATCCTATGGCTTTTGTTGCACATATAGAAGGCAAATGGCATAATAGTCAGTTGCTTCTAGCTGGCTGTGAACCAACCCTATTGTGATTCTTATGCATGTGTCAAGCCTGCGGATGCACATACTCCTGAGCGTTTCAGTGGGGTTTTGTTGGTTGCCAACTAGAGGCAACTGAATATTATGCAGTTTGACTTCTGTGCCTGTAACCAAACAACAGAATTTCAGCCAGTAATGTGCAATGTAGGACAGAGGCAGCAGGGATGTGAAAAAGTTTGTGTGATGATTACTGTTGTTTTCAGCCAAATGATATGACTGCTAAAATGCATATTAACATGAAGACTTCCATTCAGGCTCAAGTTAATTCTTTTCACTTTACAAATTTGATAGTCCTGCTGCCTGTTTGTTGTCAAGTTCAAATTTCCTGTCTTCATCTGAGTCTTTTGATGAATTAAAGTTTCCCTTTAAGTAGCAACTGGTTTCTTTTTGTCACTCCTTTGAATATATGCTAGTGAAAGAGATTAAACGTGAATTGGAATTAATTGTGGAATGAATGGGTATACTCAGGACACAGTTATTTTTCAATGCTGAACTCATTAATCTGGAGTAGATACATAGCATGGGCTAAATTCTGTAACTAACTACTGTCTCTCTTTTAGCTAATCAGTTGCCAGCAGGCTTAATAGCTACAGATGGCGCACAACAGAATGTTATGGTTTATACAACATCTTACCAACAGGTATGGCAGCTTCGTTTTCTCTTTACATCTTTCCAGTTTCAGCAATCTAGCTGGAACTACAAAAGTCAAATAATTCCAAGTCCTCATTTTGCTCCTTAGGTCCTGTAATTAAATGTGTTTGGCCATAGACATTTTTGAAAGTAATCTGGCATTATTTTGTACTCTTTTAGATCTCTGGTGTTCAGCAAATTCAGTTTTCATGATTTGAAGAAGGCTTTGGATCTGGGAACATGAGAGAGATGGGCATGGAACTAGGGAATGCTGAAGGAGAGGATGCTTTGTTTTGAAATGGCTGGTAAAGAGAGGAAAGTCACTTTGTATATTCAATAGCTGTAATGTAGCTGCCTGAAGCTTGACTAATTGAGGTGTGAATTCTGACTCAAAATCTTTTTCATGAATGACTTTAAAAGAAATTGGATTTTAAAGGTATTAAAGTATTTTTGTTTTGTACAAGAGTTTGTTGCTCTGTATAACTCCTGTATGCATTGTATATTGCAATTTACTACTGTCAAGAGATTTGTAGACAGTTTCTTATTTTCATATCAAATCATGTTACTTTTGTAATTCAAGTAAACAGCTGGGTTTAATTCATGTTTACCCTTTGAATAAAAGATAAGGGTAACGTTCATTTTGAATGCAAGTTGCCTTTATTATAAAAACTGAGATGACCTTTTGTTTTGTAATTGTCTTGCATGACTAAAGTTAACATTAACTATTTATTAATATTTGAACTTTGAAAGGGAATTCCTCAAGCGCCAGCAGTTCAGGAGAAGTGACCCCAGTGTTCTTAATGTAATGGTTGAATTAATGTGAACCCAGAAGTAACCAGTCTTTAGATCTTAGCATTAGAAGCTTGAGACATCATTTGCCAGGAATTGTTTTGCACAAGCTTCATAAGAATGAAGGGAACATTTTGGCAAATACTGTCTTCTTGTGAGCAGGGCTAGTTGTGGATTGTCTGGTGCCCAATAAAGTGTATTAACTGTACCTTGTAGTGCAGTCCCCATTTTGCCACAACTAGAATTATGTAGTAAAAAATTTTTTGTTGATCACATTGACTTAGAGGCATTCGTCTCACTGCTTTTGAAATAAACCCTTTTTAATTTATGATCTCTCTTTAAAGAAGCCAGCTTCTCTTTACTTACGGCAGTCTGATAGTCTTTTTCATAAGTTATGTTTTTGAAAAATGTACAGTTTTCATGAGTGATGGGGGTTCTCAAATGTTCATAAACTCTTTGGGGTGGGTTTGGTCAGGTTAAGCATTTGTCTGAAATGGATCTGAAATGGAAGACTTGATGCTGCTTCCTGCCTTTGCAGTAAACTACAGCCTTCGTTAAACAATCAAACTTAATTTTGTAGATGGAAAGACAGTTCTGAAGAATGAATGCTTGTGTCAGTACATATGTGTTAACATACTGTGGCAAGTACATCAGAGTGTAGCAGCATACTGTGGCAAGGAGAGTAATTCATTCTACAGTGAACCTGTAAGTGTGCATGAACTGCTTCAATAGAACAGAACTAGCAGTTTGGTGCAATTTTTTGCCCACTACTAAGGTGTCATATCAGATGGTTTAACTGGTGCTCAGTGACTTTTCTATCAGGATCGTTAGCATATTCGATAGCATAAGGGAAAAATAAGTTCATGAGTTTTTCCCTATCAGTTTCTGGCCATCTCACCCCCCCACCCCAACCCCGATCTGCCCCTCCAGCACCCACCTCCATCCAGGTCCCAATCCAGGAGGCGCCCCAAGAGCCCCGCTTGTCTCCACACCGCTTCTTGCACTTAAGAGGAAGAGGCAGGCACAGGGATCCAGCTTCTGCCTCCTGTTCAAAGCACATCCAGGGGAGGAGCTCTTCCCTCTCCTTTGTAGCTCTATGTTCCTCCCCTTCCCCTCCTGCACAAAGGGGAGGGGGATTGCAGAAACAACAGGGTAGGGTTAGGGTTGTGTAGCTGGAGGCGGGGAAGTGGCTTTCCCCCTTGACCTAGAGTGCTGCTGAGCCCAGAGCCGCTCCTTAAGGAAACAGAGGTGACTCCTTCTGTGATCGTGCCTTTCTGTGTGGAGGAACAAAGATTTGGCTGCACGGGGGGTGAGAGTAAAAATCTGGCGACCTATGGCTCCGGTTCTGGCAGAAAGGGCTCCGCGTGCCAGCTATGGCACGTGTGCCATAGGTTCACCATCGCTGTTCTAGGTGAACTGCCAGCTTAATCTATTGGATATGTTGTTATAATATGCTGGTCCTTTATTCTGTGTATAAAAATTGAACACTGATTCATCTTTGCATGAAACTGTTTTAGAGTAATTATTCTATTATCAAGAAGTTTCCAGTTTGGCAGTATAACCCTTGCACACCTGGCATTCACTGAAACAATGAGAATCTTAGCCACTGCATGATTTGAAAGGAAACTGAAACCATAAGAAATTGCTGTATGAAAACATACAGCCCCCAACCATTGCGTCTTAAGTTTAGTTTATTAATTCTGTAGCTGAACGTTATGGCCAAAATCCTATTGCACAGCTACACATGCACAACTTGAGGTTGTGCAAATGGTAGTACTTTGTTTTGCACTTTGCCCAATCAGTTATGCTGGAGATGCATGACAATTGTGCAATTTTGTAATGCACCTCCTTGTTACCTGGCATAATACCCAGCACATTTATGCTGTCATAACTTTACATTAAATCAGCATGAGCTATCACTCTTCATATTATAATGGCTGTGTTGACAGTGCATATCTGTAGTATGAAATAAATGAAAGGAAAGTATTGTATTATTTTCTAGACACGTAAAAGTGATGTACTTTAGCCATTACACACAAACCTGTAGAACAAGGTTGCAATGTGCCTTACACTTCTAAGGGTTCTGTCAGAGAGGGTATCTAGTACAGAAAGTTTATTAAAGCTGAATGGGTCTGGGACCCATTGAAAAGGGGAGAACATCAAAAAATAACACTCATTTCAAAGCAAATAATAGGCATGATCAGTACAGCACATCAAAGCCTATCAACACTAGATGTATTTAATCACTTCACAGTGAATATTTTAATGTTGGCATAGACAAAGTATTATGCCTTAAAATCTTCCAGTTTATGCTATTTCCTACCTGATTGTTAATGCTGAAATAATAAACTTCTGGTAAGAATTGTTACTTCCTTTTAAGGGTCCGTATTACATAAACTGAAGCCACTGTTGCATTGGCTGAGTCTTAATTAAGCTGCTTCTAGAAGCTACCCATCTCTCCTATCTGGTTGCTGCTGCTATTTTAAGCAGGCATAGTCCACAACCTCTTCACAGCCAAAAGTTATGTAAAAGTGCTCAGTTTTGTACTTTTAAAGCAGAGTTCTCCAAATGTCACATTGTACAGAGTGATTATATACACTACCTGCTCATAAGGGTAGCTGTCACCTTTAAAAGTTCCAACGATCCAAATGTAAAAATATTTTTAAAATTATGCACGTGCAAATGTAGTTAGTAGGACAAATCACTTTATTATTACAAAGAACAATGCTACTTTTGTCTTGCTATACAAAACATTCAGTTTCTTTATAGAGACCAGTCATAGACCATAAGACAATAACTAGCTGGCTTTAAATCCTCCACACATTCCAGTTAACTATGATAATTACTTTTTTAAAAGGTTATGGCTTGCTGCTGGGCTCTACTGAAGAACTATGGTAAGATATTGCTATAAATCATACATAAAAATGGCTGTGTTCAGAGTATCTTGCCACAACACAAGCCAATTAATTAGCCCACACATGTAGCCTCTCTGCTACCCAAGCAATAAGCAATCAAGTTAAGTCTCTAGTGAGCCACAGGTTTCCATCAAACCAACTTCAAACCATGGTTTAACATACTTGATTGTTCCAGAGCTATTAACCATAACTGCCTGGATGGCATTGCCTTGGACAGAACAGGAAACCAAGGGCCTGTCCACACTGTGAGATCTGGCTGGTGTTTAAAAGATACTTATCTTCAGTGCAATCTATTTTAACTCAAGTACTCATCAGGAAGTCAGAACAAAGAGTTATTTTGCATCTCAGTGAATTATTCCAAAGAGATTACATGCCCTACTCCTGTGTCAGAAACATACAGGCCAGTTCTTAAAGGGGAAGGTTGGATGTTTTAAGCAAAACCAGAAGCGAATGAGGTCTTTTTTCCCATGCCAAATAATGCTACCAGGGAACTATATAGCATAACTATATGCCAGCGTGGACAGGCTCTAAGTAAAAGCTTCCTGATTCACTCCACCACAAGCAGAGGAGCAAAGCGTCTTTCAAAAGGCTTGTTCATGTTGGATTATTTAAATGAGATATGATTGTCTGAACTGGGCCAGTTTCTTGTTCACACAGCTAGATAACCATTGTCACAAAACTGCTTAAGTTAAACTGATGCAGTGGCTGAAATCCTGTTGCTTAGCATAGTAAGTCACAACTAAAGTAGACCCATTGTATCAGTGGGGATTTTATTACTAAACTCTGCAAGTTCTCTTTGTTCAGTGGGCCTACTCTATGTGCAACTTACTACACTGAGCAGCAGGATTATAGTCTGTATGTCATAAATACCATAGAAGAGTCCTTAAGTTAAACTGATGCAGTGGCTGAAATCCTGTTGCTTAGCATAGTAAGTCACAACTAAAGTAGACCCATTGTATCAGTGGGGATTTTATTACTAAACTCTGCAAGTTCTCTTTGTTCAGTGGGCCTACTCTATGTGCAACTTACTACACTGAGCAACAGGATTATAGTCTGTATGTCATAAACACCATAGAAGAGTCTATTTATAATTTTCATACAAAATGTATTATTCCTTGAAATTGCTACAGGATTGATTCATATCTGTACAAGATGTTACATGTATAGTTTACAAAGGCAAACAAAGAGCATCCACTAGGTTCTCAGACGGCCTGATTCAATTTATATTTTAATTGAATGTATAGTGGCTGAAATATCCACAACTACTAATCAGTTACTAACAAAATATTATCAAAATGCATTTTATATGGGTTTTACACATTTTAGGTGCTATTGAGTGAAGCAGGCCACAGAAACAGTTGAAACAACGTAACGGGCAAGGAACTACAGGAAGAACTCTTCTGCATGTTACTAATTTGGTGAATTTACAGAGGGAAATAGTAAATATGTAACAAATTATAAAATAGCCTACTGGCTTTACCACACTTACACTGAAAATCATGTCTGGATTAACACAACCACAAATTTACCTTTGGTAGTCATGACATACTTTTGAAAAACAAGTGCATAAATATATGAACTCAAAAGTGCAAAAATACTCACAGATATACTGGACAGGTCATATTATTAACGGATCTACACTCAAAAGTTATTAGAAGCGAAGTAGCTATACAACAAAATTCTATTCTGCCACAGCATGCCTCCCTAACTTAAAAACATCCAAACCTCCTACGTATTTGCAGTCTCCCCTGAACATGCAAAGGTATTTTTTTCAAACCCATGGTCACTGGCAATTCTGGAACCCATCCAGAGTTGGAAGTAGTGTGAGAAGTGACCGTGGTGGAGGGAAGCACAGTGCTTGTATATGACAAGCCAGGGAAGAAATGACACATTGCTGGCAGATGTACCTCCTGAGGAAAGCCATTGTACATCTTGGACGTTACGTCGAGGTTTTCTGAAACTGCACCAAAATTCACTGTTCTAATTAAAACAATCAAAGGCAGCCTTTCTCAGTGGGGCACTCTCCCGAAGTGCTAAATTGCAACCTTGGTCCCCTGCCAGCAAGGCCTTTGGGGAAGGCTAATCAAAGGTATCCTGTATTCTCTGGAATTTGATCGATTTTAATTATTGAAAGCAATCAAAATCTTACGGTTCCTTCACATACTTCTTATGGGGTGTTACACAAACACACTAGGAGACATAATCAAGATCAACATAATATCCACCAGGTTCAATCAGTGTGTGTGTATCATGAATTTCCAAACAATACACAAATACACACTTTTTCCAACAGGATTCTGAAAGTTCATCTCGGGAGAAGTTAATATGTGAAACATTCTTGAGGAACCAGATGTATAATCCACTGAACTGTATGTGCAGTAATGAGAATTGGCATTTTCAGCTTAACATGCAACATTCGGCCAGTCACAGGTGAATCCATTGTTATCCCACTGTCGTGCAGAAAATGTAGGGAGCAGCCAACAGAAAGTGCTACTTAATTTACCATCAATTCAAGAAGGCTTCAAAAATGTTTTCAGTTTTTGCCATGACATTACAGATTGTGCTGCAGTATTTAAAGCTGCATCAATATAACCACTGTAAAGTGGGTATTCTACTTTTTAAAAGGAATGGTCATACACTGTGTTTTCTGGTATACTAAATATCTTTGTCATTTGACAAAATTTCCTTAGTGTATAAATTAATCAGTGCTGGGGAAGACACTGGAGGATTTGCATTCACATCCTACACACACCGTGACTCACTGTGTGATTTTGGGCAAATCACTCTCTCGGCATAAGTTTCTACATCTGTAAAATGGGACAAGTGGACTTCCTCAAAGACCTTCTACAAGTATGAAGAAGTAATGATTGTAACATACTAGTATTACCATAACCCACTTTAAAACTGATCTGGTAGATAAAGTAATTCCCATCGTAATTTATTAGGCATTGATGGAAAAATGAAGTGCAAAATATTCTCTTTATTGCACATAAGCATCTAACCAGGTTTGAAAATAAGGACATTTGTAAAAAAAAATCTTATTTAGATACCAAAGGGTATAGTCCTCAGGAACCTGCACAAAGCCTATTCAGATGAATGTAAAGAGTGCAATTATTTATGAAAATATATTCCTGTTGGACTGTCCTTTGGCAATATCAACCTAATACACTGGTATAATTTGCCATTTTATGCTATAATTTGGTAAACAATCTACAGAGGCATCCAAATGCCCATATTTAATACACTTGTGTGTTTAGGAACAGATTAATGTTCCTAGATATAAGCTGCTTCACATGCAACATTTTTGCTACAGAGGGTGTAGGATAAAGATTTACTCTATCATTTGTGAGCAGTGTTGAGGTGTTTATTTTGGGGTGCATGCAGTTTTCTCCCTCCACCCTTGCAGGAAAAATGTAAAGAGGCTTGGAGCAGCTGGCACATTAGTGATAAAATGATTGAGATAAAAAGAATATTGAACACCACTTTCAGGATATGAGAAAAGGCTAAACAAAAAAACAAGCCCCTGGAAAAAAAAATTAAAAATGTATGCCACAGAAACGTGCAAATATGTGCAAATTTGCTTTAACTTTAGACCAATAAAGAAAATTGCTGGAAGCAACATAAAAATGTTACAGAGTTAAATCTTATTAGTGCAAAATTGCATGAATATGCCAAAACAAAGCATATGCTTTTCTTTTTTTTAAAAAAATGAAGCATTCATTATGAAGGACTTTAACGTGTAAAGACTCTTGTAAACATTCAAATATCTACAGATTTAGCATTTCTATGCCCGTGAGAAACTAACAGTAGTGCATTTACACTGACTTTGCTTTTCATAACATAAGTGACTAGTTCAGCAACTTGCATATCAGGACACTTTCAAAGATTATAATATGTGTTTACAAATACTAGAAAAATCTTTACAAAAATGAATATATTAAAATATTCTATACATTTCAAGTTACTGTAAACTAAAATATTTGCCTTACATTAAAATGACATGACTATGACATTTAAGCTAGAAGAGAACCAGTCTAATGGGGCTGAGTAACCTCTGCCTATTTTTGATCTCTTGTATCTTTCAGATTGCATTCAGTATAGGTTATAAGTCCCCAAGGTTGCACCTATTGGTATGTGATGTCCCACTGTCTAGTTTGTTGGAAGACCTTTGCTCTCTAGCATCATTTTAGCCTTATCTCCATTAGAAACTGAGAACATGAAACCAGAGAGACCTTAGTTGTGCAATCCTAACCATGTTTACTCAGAAATAATCCCCACTGAGTTGTGTGACTTACTCTCAGATCAGAGCATATAAGATTGTAGCCACAAGTAGAGGATGGTATTCAATCCCTTCCAAGTCACTCTCACCAGCAAATTTGAAAACAAAAGAGGGATCAGACGTGTGACTTTCTAGGAAACAAGCAAACTCCTAAGGATTTTGGAGCATACCCTGTCAGATCTACAAATACATAGCTTATACACATAAAATTCCTCCTGTGTTTTCCAGTTGTCTGGTATGGATAGTTTGGAATTCACAACTGTGAATACAGATAAACTGTATATTGGAAGCACACCTCTACCACCATAATGAGCTAGAAGAAAGAGGAGAAAAATCACATCGTCATGAAATAGTTACAACTGGAAATTCCAACTAGATCAACCAACATGAATTACTCAAAGGCAATTGCTGTGATGTCTGGAATCAAATAGTTTCCTTTCGGAATTTCCCGTGCTATGCATTTGCTATTGTATTCAAGCAACTTGTTTTTTAATAGTTCCATGGACCACTGTCCACTGGGGTGTGCAAATAACCAATGTTTTGGGGAACTCTTCCTTTCAACAGATCCCCAGATTATTCCAACTATATTTTGAACTTCTGCGTTTGCCTTGACAACAGTTTAAGGAGAACATCTAAACAGGCTTATGTGTCTAATTCCTACCACCCAAATTCTTTACATAGTCTTACGCCAAATCACAAGCTTTTAAAACTTTGTGAAATTTGAAGTACAACTGAGTATCTACATCTAGGAACAGAGGAAGCATTATACGAAGTCAAACCGTTGCTTAAGCTCAGTATTTCCTGTACCCATAAGATGAATGGATCCACAGATGACTCTTGGAATCTCTTCTAACGTTGTAATTATGGGGTTCTGTGATTCTGCTCTGAAGCAGCAGCAGCTCTTCAGGGCTGCAAGCAGGCTGTTTTTCTCAGTTCTAACCGAAGACAGGAGAGGCTGAAACTGGGCCTGTTTACAAGCAAAGCATGTGCTCTGCCATTGAGCTATGGCCCCTCCCTGTGTATTGGAAGCAAATGTGATTAGGGTTGTACATGTTGGGAGCTACTGGAAGGAAGGCTCTCCGAACACTCATATACATACAAAACCCGCTAGATATTAGCCAGGGCCTTTAAAATGACCATACTTGATAAAGGTGTATGAGAACTACCGGCACCTTGGGCCCAATTCTGCAAGAATGTATAGCATTGACACTATGAAGTTGAAACATTGCAAAATTAATATCTGGAAGATTTACAAACTATAATCAATGTTAACAGCCACTCCACCGCTTGCTGTACATTATGCTGTTTCTATTTTGAACTTGACGTTTTCATTTCTGCAGAGAGAGAGAAAAGGTTGTTTAAAACTTCTAGCATTCAAGACAGACATGCTTAAGTCAGAGTATCTGTACTTAAGGTTCGGATTAATGCAGGGTTGGAAAACATGTGGCCTTTCAAATGATTTTAGTGGTATAGCCTGAATGTAGTGAATGTAGTGAGCTGGACCATAAAGAAAGCTGACCGCCGAAGAATTGATGCCTTTGAATTGTGGTACTGGAGGAGGCTCTTGAGAGTCCCCTGGACTGCAAGGAGAACAAACCTATCAATTCTAAAGGAAATCAACCCTTAGTGCTCACTGGAAGGACAGATCCTGAGGCTCCAATACTTTGGCCATCTCATGAGAAGAGAGGACTCCCTGGAAAAGACCTTCATGTTGGGAAAGTGTGAAGGCAAGAGGAGAAGGGGACGACAGAGGATGAGATGGCTGGTCAGTGTCAGTGAAGCAACCAACATGAATCTGACCCAACTCCGGGAGGCAGTGGAAGATAGGAGGGCCTTGCGTGCTCTGGTCCATGGGGTCACAAAGAGTCGGACACGACTAAACGAATAAACGAACGACGAGTGAACTGCAATGCAGTGGACAGAGTGCTGAACTAGGGCTGCATTATTTCTCATCCCTAGTTATGCTGGGCAGGACCATCAGGAGCCAAAACATGTCAAACACACATTCTCCATCTCAGGCTTGATTGGCTTATGACTGGCAGCTTTTTTTCCTTGCAACTCTATTGTGCTGGGAACACCAATACAAAGAGCTGTGTCCTCTACCCTCTGGCTCTTTGCAACTCTTCTAGGAAGCAAAACTCCACGTGCATGGACACCCAATCCTTCATTCCTCCATGGCAGCAATCTAATCACAACACAAATCATTCTGCCAACTACTTGTTCATTTCTCACGAGGGTCACACTTCTGCATTTATGGAGGAAAAATACTTTTGACACATCATTAACCCAGCATTTTCTTTCACTGCTATTCTTTGTTCCTTCTTTCTTCCTCATGCTATCTCACAGTGCAATCTTTTATCTTCAGCCTACCCCAATCCCCATCTTGAAGCAAACTTCGCTTTCTAAGTTTTTACAACCTTATGGGCCTCTCTGAGTTACACCTGAATATGACAGTCTCATCAAAAAAGACCACAGGGATGCAGATAGCTGTTTCCATCAATGTCCTCCTTCCTCCCAAGCAAAAGGAATAGAGGCATAGCCAACATGTATAGCCAGTGCAGTGGACAGGGTGCTGAATTAGGACTCAGCAGAACCGAGTTCAGATCTCTGCTCAGCCACAGAAACTGACTGAAGTGGAGTGGCAAATGTAAAACCAATTCTTAGATATCTCACACACCTCAAAAGCTGTTAGGGTTGCCATAGGTTGGAATTAACTTCATGGAAAATAACAAAGCATCACACAATGAACACAGAGCTTCTTTTAAATTATCACGCCCAGTTCCATGGGGAAAAACAAAAGAGGGCTACTGTTGGCCCATAGTCTTAGGGTCTGAGGGTACTTTGCTGGTGCTGGGTCAGTTTTTGCCGTTACACCAGCCTGACCATACTGTGTTGTTTGGTCAAGGTCTTTCTGTGCTTCTGAAGTAAAGCAGCTCACTGCACCTTGAAAATGACATTAAAAAGATACTGAAACCTAGTTTTCATACACTAACAACCTCTACAGATTATAGACAAAGGTTGGGTGTCTAGGGAAATTGCTTTACCTTGGAGCCATCGAACTTGCGTGGCTGGTCCATACCCCCTCTCGTTCTTGGCTGAGATCCTGAACACTATGGCAGGTTTGGACGTGTGATCAACATGAGCATTTGCAAGCTGGGCAGCAGTCACTGTGCATGAAGTCTTAAGGCCACAATAGATTTTCATAAACATAAGCTGATTAGGATTCTCGTGGAGTTGGGTGGTTTTAATTGCCAAATAGGCGGAGTATTCCAATATGTTTCCCGAAGGTGAAATGGGAGGCTCCCATGAAAGGTGGATACAATCAGCACTCTAAGGCAGAGGAAGGAAAAATAAAATTCACATTGGGTATAGTTAATGCTTCAAAGTTTAGTTTGCAAAAAAGAAAAATAAAAGAAATAAAAGAAATACAGCCTTTTAGAGTGCCGAGCCCTTTATGTTAGAGGTTTTATTCCCTCATAGGAGAACTGGCAGGACTGGTTAAGTTTCTTCAGTAAAGAAGAAAAACGAGAAAAGGACCTTAGGTGCTTTTGAGGAGCAAACTGGGATAAAAATATTTTAAATAAATTTAAATAACTAAATGTATTGCATCTTATCATTCAATACTTGCTCAGAGCATGATAAACCAAATGTGTTGACCCAGTCTAAGGCAGAGGTCAGAAACATGGCGCCCTCTAGATACTGTTAGTCTGCAGCTTTTATCAGCCCGACCCTGCATCATTAATAGGGAGAGATGAGGGTATAAGCAATCTAACAGCATTTAAGGAGTCCCATGTCCCACTGCTCCAACTTAAGATGAGAACCATGGAAAAGGCTTCAGGAGTTAACCTAGAGGCAAAATCCTTTGAGCTGGAGTCCTGAAGGCAGTTCGTGTCATTCTGCCAACTCCTGCGACGTTGCTGGAACCAGTCGTATTGGCTCTTGCCTTTCCATTGGACCATTTCAGCAACGTGGAGAGGGGGGATCTGCTGCTTGGGTAACAGCCTATCCTCCATATTACTTTACCCAGGCGTCATGCTCTGGAGAGGACACTCCTCGATTTAGAGCATGTTACCATAGTCTCTCGAGACTGAAGGAAGCCTATGAAGGCTTGTACTGTATGAAGTACTTTGAATACATAATCTGAGGAACCCCTCCAGCAATTCTATACAATTGACCAATGTTCTGAAAGACAAAGGCTCAAATTCTTTTATTTAGTTACATGAAATGATGGCATAACTTTTGGAGGTCAAATGCCCTCTGTTAAGGAATCATCATATACATTATCAGTTCCATAGTGAGTTGTATGACTCAGTACGCAACTGATAACGTCTAGGCAAGCCAATGAATTAATGCCTGACTCAGGAATTAAAAACAAGGTCTTGCAGCTCATAGCTGCAACTGTCAAACACAATCCATTCTGCGCTTTAGTTCTGTGAACTATTTTCTTGTCCAGACCTCAACCTCTTCTTCCCCCCCCATCATTTTGTCAATCAAAACATTTTATTTTGTTCAGAGTGCCATCTATTGCTGTCACTGATTTTTACTAAGCCCAGCAAGTTCAAGAGTAGTCTCAAGATTAATCGCATACATCTGCATATTTCTTACCTTGCTAATTTTGACAATGGAAGGTGCTCCAGGAAACCCAGGGATGCAGGTCTTAAATTCGCTGATTTTACTGAATGGTCCTACACCACAGCCATTTATTGCAGCAACTCTAAACCTGTATAAAGTGCCAGGAGCAAGATCCTGTTTCTTAAGTATACTGTTGTTTGGAATGTCCGCATTGTCTACCTAAGTTTTTTTTTAAAGGAAGAGACACATAAAGACAAAGACCACTCATTTGCTTGATGTTGTAAAAATTATGCAAAGTTACCATGATGTTGCTTTGTAGATGGTGAATTTAGAATTCCCAGTAGCTTAATCTTCTTAGTACAATCCACACATTAATAATACAGTGGCGCCTCGCTTAACGAGCACACCGTTTAACGACGAATCCGCATAACGACACTTTTTTGCGATCGCTAATGCGATCGCATTGCAATGTTTTAGGTGGCAAAACATTGCATTGCGATGATCAGTAACCGTTTCGCTTACCAATCTTCGCATAGCGATGTTTAGAAAACAGCTGATCGGTGGTTCCAAAATGGCCGCCGGGTGCAGAAAATGGCCGCCTGCAGCTTACCGGGCAGCGAAAATGGCAGCCGGATGGAGGATTCCCTGCAAAGCGGTGAGTTTTTCCCCAATAGGAATGCATTAAACGTGTTTTAATGCATTCCTATGGGTTCCCCCCCCCCGCATAGCGACGAATCCGGATAGCAACAATTTATCCGGAACAGATTATCGTCGCTATGTGGGGCACCACCGTACTAAAACATATGAAATAAAGTCCAGTCAAAGCTGAATGCTTTGAAGACTTGCTGAAACCAATGAGAGCTGAATGTTATGCTTAAATCTCTTTTATCATGATGAACTTTTAATGTGCCTGGATTGCCATGGACCTTTCGTCCTAGGAGACTGATATCATACAAGAATTTGACATGAGTGGGAACTATGAAGATGCAACTGCAACACTACAATGACAATAATGGGAAGAGTTTCCTTACTTCTATACCAGATGTAAGAAACAATCAGCCAACTGTAATCAACATAGGCTGTTCATTATTTTACCTATACAGTATACTCTAAAATTTTCCCTGCCAAAATTTACAAATTGTCATTTTGCTTTGTGCTTTCACTATCTAATAGGCACATTCAATAAACAAATACCTTGCTGGAAATGATGGCCTTTTCCTCAGGCAACAAATAGAACTGGTTCACCAGAGCACTGTTGCTTTGAAAAATGCCAACATCATACCACCTTCGTTCTTGTGTTCTCACTCTTGTGTTCTGTCGTGGTAATGAGGCTTTCTGTGGTTCAGATAATGTATTATAAGTACATATGATTTCAGTAATAATAACATACAATTCAGAGAGACACCGGAATATGAAGAAGTTAACTAAAAGCTAGGAACCCTTCCCTCATCCACACTTGCAATGAAGATGTACAATATCATAATATACATGTGAGGTAGCATGACATCATCACAACTCCTAACAAATACATGGTGTACACTCATGAGTTCAGAATTTTTCACATACTGTATATACTCGAATATAAGCCAACCCGAATATAAGCTGAGGCACCCAATTATACCACAAAAAACTGGGAAAATGTATTGACTCGAGTATAAGCCGAGGGTGGAAAATGCAGCAGCTACTGGTAAATTTCAAAAATAAAAATAGATACCAATAAAATTACATTAATTGAGGCATCAGTAGGTTAAATGTTTTTCAAGATATTGCCCTTCTGAGCTGCGAGACACACTTTACTGCCTGCGGAGGGAGGACTCATACCGGATGCTGCGCTTATCTACTGCTCTACTGCTGTGTAACAAGATGGAGGGAGACAGAGGATGGAGGAGGAAGGTGGGTACATAGAATATGAAGGAGGAGGAGGATGGGAGTGTCCTGGAAGCAGAAATGCAGTGTACTTAACCCGGGTTATCGGACTACCCACAGAGGCTGCAGGCACCCGTAGATGAGCGGGGGAGCCCGGAGAACACTTGCACAGCAAGGGAAAACATGTAATTTTGACACTGACTCAAGTATAAGCCAAGGGGGTGCTTTTTCAGCAAAAAACTGTGCTAAAAACTAGGCTTATACTTGAGTATATACAGTATATTATCTCAGCAACTCTTGCAGCAACCCTTTATTATCTCTACGTTGACATGGAGTGAGGCTCAGATACAGCAGCTTCTCCACTGATTAGAAATCACTGCTTCTTTCCTCACATCTATCAATTCTGTCACTATAAACTACATGGGCAACCAGATCTCCACTTGCCTCTTATGTTTTCTCTGAACTGGAGATCATATATTTGTTAAGTTACTCTGCAGACAAAATTATGTTGATATGAAACAATGGTTAATCTTGCGCAGCAGTTTCTCCTTTTATTGTAGCTTGTGCAGAAGATGCTTTAAGAAATATTCCCTCTAGATACAACCATGAAACAGAAGGATGATTATGAGTGGCACACATTCTGCTGTCTTATGTATCTGCCCTATAAATGGGTCTTCGAAATTTACTAACTTACAAATCATTTGACTAGCATGAGGAAGACTGGCAGAGGAGGAACAGAGAACTCGCTTTACTCTTCCAGGGGCCCACAGTGTTTCTATGCTGGGCAGAGAGGAGAAGGGGATGTCCACTACCTCTTCCATCAGCCCCCTTGCATACTTGCTTGCAAGTCTTGTGGCTATCAGACTTGTCCTTAAACATAAGATGGATTATAGCAAAAAAATGGTCGGCAGGCTGCCTGCCCCCCATCCCTCCTGCCTTTCATGCCTCTCCATCCACCCTGCTACTTCCAATGTTAGTACTGCGGGGAGCACAAAAATGGTTCCTCTTTAAAACAAAGTACATGGCAAGATAAGTGGAACCATATTGGGGCCATTTTCAAAGCAAATTCTGTAGAGGAGCACTGGAGTAGATTGTAACCCCAGGGGATTCAAAAGGGACCAATGCCCTTCTCTACCAGTAGAAGCTAACTACTTATGAATCAGAGAAGAGGAGAGAGAGAGAGATTGGGAGACTTCTGAAATCATAATATCTAGGCATGAGAAACCTTAGTGAATAAGTTTGACATGCCAATACAATACAGTGGACCCTCTACTTACGGAATTAATCCATATTGGAACAGTCTCCATTGACCTACAATGCATTGAAAACCGATTAATCCGTAACCAGCCATTTTTGTTCCGTTTTTGTTCCATTTTGGTTTTTTTCTGGTCTGTAGGTCAATTCTCCGGCTGCATGGCGAACCTAAATTTTGCGGTCAGAGAAGTCTGTAACTCGAAAAGCCTGAAAGTCGAGCCATCTGTAAGTCGAGGGTCCGCTGTATGCTATATTGCTGATATTTTTTACACCAGGGGTTAATAAAGTCATCCTGCCAGCTGTTAACTGTAGCCTCTAGAAGAAGCTGGACTGCAACTCTGAGAAACACAGCCAGAAAAGTGAGGAAACCTGGGAGCTGCTGTCCAATGATATGTAGCGGGCCCTCTGTTTCACAGACACACACATACACAACACAATTGTATGTATTTTATGTACTTACAGGCAGTTTTATAGCTGAATCATGTGGGCTACAGGAATTGACTCGGATGGACTCTTTGACTAGAGGGAAAAAATGATGTGAAACTTTGATTAATTTAGAAAATTTTTAGCAAGGAAAGCAACATATTCACCTTATACACTGACATTCCTTTTAGAAAGTGCCTGGCATTGAATGCAACTATACCAAGAGCATACAAATACAGGTGGAGTGAAATTAAAAAGCTGAAGTGAAAACATACTGCCGGCTTTAATGAATATGCAGACTGGTCTGTGCCAGAGAAAAGTAATTTACTATAAATGGCAGAGATACAAATTTTGGCAGTGGAGAAAAAAAACATGATTAACACAATTGCTTGGGTGCAAGTTGCATGCAAGGAATTTAAAATGAAAAAGCCAGATATTAACCAAACCAAGTTGCCTTGATTTTTGAAACTTGTTCAAAACACTTTAGAACAATTTTTTTTCCAGATTTAAAAAAAAAGGAGAGCACACACATATATAAACAAGAAATGTTTTCTGTCAGCTTATGTACCAAATATTGTGATATGGAATGAAAAAATGAAGACAGCCATAGAAATAGATGGATGGCTTTCTCGTTCCATGAGAAGAAGCCCTTCTTACAGGAAACTGCTTGGTTACTGCAGCCTTAGATACTTTTATACACTTGGCTCAAAATTCAACATTTCTGACAGATGTAGGACAGCATTAAGAAAGTTAGCAAGAATCTGTAAAAGGATATTTAATGAATACCTAATACTTCAAAATGAAGAGGAAAGAAAGGTAATCTAAAATGCAATATAATCAATCAATCAAGTTTTTTTTTCTTGGTTTGTTTGTCCTATAAGATCTCTGAAACAGTAAGAACTAAACACAAAATTTTGTACCAGGACTACTGATTTCCCAGATGGAATACCTGGTACCTTATATTTGGATGGGTATGCTGGCAGCAGGATGATGGGAACTGCAGATGTCATCTGTATCTGAAGCTACTAAAGTTAATCTGCAATTCAAGAACATCCTCAGCCAATCAGAGCTTGACAGCCAACATATGAAGGAGCCACTTTACTCCTCCCTTTGCTTCAGCCAGCAGAATAACCAAAAAGTCCACTAAACACAACTTTCTGTTCAATTTGAACGAGGAGCTCCAGAACAAGCCAGGATTTAATACTGTACCCTGTTTTCCCTTTCATCTGAACAACTGAAGGCTTCCTAGTTTGTTTGCAAAGCTAAACAAATTGGCCAAATTGAGCAAATGGGTCATGCATAGCTTGGTTTAATGACTCAAGAGATCACCCCCAGATTCTTTTGCAAAAATGAAGTATAGAACTACTATGAAAAAGTAACCATAAAAGTGATGACCTTAGATATATTTGGCTCACAACAAATATGAAACTTGTCAAACCTTCCGGTTTTGAATGGCCTGTCATTAATGAAGTTTCATCTTTCACAGCTGCCCCATTTGCATTTGAGGACTCGGCTTTACCAGCTTGCTGGGTGTTCTGAGTGACAGAGACCATACCAGATACTGATTTGTCTAGTTTTGATGTTCTAGTATTGAAGTCAAGTAATTCATTTAGATTTGCTGAGCTCTGTAGGCCTAAAACAATGGGAGAAAAAAGCACACCACATATTAAGAAGGATTTTAAAGACAGAAATGCGACGTGACTTACTCTTCTTCTTTAGACTCCGCTTGGTCTACATGACTAGCAGATTGGTCTGGCAATCTGAGATGACAGCCCAAACTTTGTCTGGTTAGGCTGTAAATACAGAGCGTGCCACTTCTTTAATACCAATTCCCACTGCAACTTTTGTTTCAAAACAAAACACATTTTGTTTTTGAGTTGTAACTCCCATTACAGTTTACCAAAAAAAAGAGAGCAAACACCACAGGAAAAAAGGGGTCTCACCCAATCCTTTCTGTGGTGTGCTAGTTTTCCTGCTGCATGGAAACTTGGTGATTTTGGTACACAGGGGAATAAAGCTCTACCTGCAGCTTGAAATGGTACAATCTGCTCATTCTGTTGCAGTCTCAAGGCCTAGTCTACAGAACATGGCGAGTATGCACAATCGGGGATATGGCCAACACAATTGCCAAATCCAAGGCCTAAAAGCCAAACCAAAAACCCAACTGTGTTTTTCAGCTCTTGTGATCGGCAGCATGACTTCTGAGAATTCTGTTTTCAACGTCCAGCCCTATGCTTGTCATCTCCCTGATTTTCTGAGGCGTTGGCCCAGTTCAGTTGTGAAATTAATACTGGGAAATGCAGAGTTTTCCAGATGTGTTTGGACTTTACCTCTGATCAGCCACATCTGGCCTGGCCTCTGGTAAACAATAATCAGATTATACCTGTACTTTTTATCTATAGAAAACTCAACCACATCTGCCACAGAATCATCTGCCCATATGTAAGTATTGCCTTCTCTCAGTTCAGCCTTGGTTCACTGAAAGCATGAGCACTCAGTTCTTGTATATCTGTGAATGCCTCTTACCATTTTGTCTCCACTTACATCTGTCATATTTCATTCTTCTTACCTAAAGTGCTAACAGGCGAACATGAAGGAGCACTGGACTCTTTGGAAACAGAATGGGTTTTCCTTGCATTTTCAGATTCCTTTCCTTTAGTTTCCGAAATGGAAATTTGCACCTAAACAGGAGAAATAGTTAGCACTTAGATTCTAATAGCAACTTGATATGTCGTCCCCACCTCCAATGGCACAGCCCCTTAGATATTGTTTGTCTACTCAGTTTGAATCACAGTCAAAAGGGCCTCCTCTCCAGATTAGGCAGCATGAGCAGCAGCAGCAGCAGCTTTGCAAGAGTTCTGCATTTTTAGACCTTTCTGCCCATCGCCATGTTTGTTACACAGGAATCAACAGTTGAGGGGAACATGGGGAAAACTTTAGAAAAGAGCTGCTACATATGGGAGGGGTGGGGTGGGGTTAAATGCTTCTGCAGTAAGTAAAGAGTATGTGTGTGGTGCCACTTTGGCTTCAACCCAGGCCCCCATTCAAGTCAAATTATGGCTCCCATTATTGCATTCTCCCATATGCTGCAATGTGAATGAAACAGAGATGTTCCACAGCAGCACCAGATAACCCTCCCTGAGGATCTGGATAAAGTAGGTCAAGATGTCTATTACAAGTCAATGACTTAATTATAATATACAGTGTTATTTAGTTTAATTCAAAATATGTACTGTATTCATTAGTCACATGTACAGCACCTATTTCCTGCAAGGAATTCAAGGTAGAATACAAGGCTCTTCTTTGTCCCACTTCCCCTTACAATAAAGTTGTGGCTCGGGAGGAGTTACATTTGAATCTCCCAAGAGTCAGCGTAACCCTTGTTAATTAATGACATTGCTCTGGCCAAATGTCTTGGTGCTCTGTCCTGAGAACAAAAGTTATCAACCAGAGCCTTAGAACAACGAACTAGTAGAAAGTAAAGTCTGCTTGCTGAGTAGATTAACTAGAATTTCTCCCCATCTCCATATTAGAAAGAACTAGAAGGACCTAAATTATATGCTTTACAAGAATACACTTACATTGTTTGGGACTTTACTGAGAGTTTGGTTGTGAAGATCCAGCTTGATTCCTACAGGAAGGATGATATTCATTAATGGTAGTGCTTTCTGTAGAGACATCTTTCATGTAAATGTATGCGTAATCAGTAGCGGATGTTCATATGAAGCTTCGAGATGCTCTGAACTTTATTATCACATTTAAGGGATCATACAAAAAAATCCAGTTTTATCCCACATCACTATCAGAAAAGACATGAATACTAGTGTATTGTCAAAATCAAGTTCTTTTGACCACACATTCGAACATGAAAGCACAATATGAGTCACAGACAAGGAATATGTGGCCATCTAGACATGGCCAGACACCAGCTGCCATCAGCCCTAGGCAGAAGCTGCAACAGTGTGGGATGGGAACTACAGCCCAAATAACATCTGGAAGGCTACATGATCCACACCCTGACATAAGTTATGGAGGGGTTCCTTGCCGCTGAAAGCCCACACAAACCATTAAAAAAAATCTTATCTTCAGTCAGAATAATTTACATTCCCGAATCATTGCAATATTTGAACTAAGCAATAACAGCTTCAAAAGGATGGACATAGGATTCAGTGAAACCAGGGGTTTCAGCTTCTGGAACAAAATCTTCACAGATGAGTTTGTTCATATCTATTCTCAAGAACCTTCTCAAGATCTGCCCTCAGCCAACCTATTCTACGTTCAAATTTCAAAGGTATTAGTGTGAGCAAATGTGATACTGAAGAGGAAAAAAAAACCCTCAGGAGCGAAGTCAAAATGTGACATTCTGGGAGTAGAAACTACTTGTGTGTGTGTAAGATCACTTACATTTTAGAAAGGAACCAGAAAGATTCCAAATGCTTTTCAACAGAAGCCCCACAAGATGTGTTCTAAACTAATCTAATCTAGAGGTTACTACAGCTTAAGTAGTGCTCTTCAACATTTTTATTAATAACTTAGATGAGGAAGTGCAGGGAATGCTTGTCAAATTTGCAGATGATACAAAATTGGATGGAAAGCTAATACTGTAAATACCCTGGGAAGACAGAAACAAAATTCAAAATTATCTTGATAGGCTGGAGCACTGGGCTGAAAACAACAGAATGAAATACAACAGGAATAAGTGCAAAGTACTGCACCTCAGAAAAAGAAACCAAATGCACAGTTACAAGATGGGGGATACCTCTCTCAGCAATACTTCAAGAGAGAAGGATCCTGGAATTGTCGTACATCACAAGCTGGATATGAACCAACAGTGTGTTGTGGCTACAAAAAAAGGCAAATGCTATTTCAGGCTGCATTAACAGAAATATAGTTTCCAAATACTGTGAGGTGCTGGTTCGCCTCTATTCAGTACTGGTTAGGCCTCACCTTGAGTATTGTGTCCAGTTCTGGACACCGCACTTCAAGAAGGATGCTGACAAATTGGAACAAGTTCAGAGAAGGGCAACAAGGATGAACAGGGGGCTGGAAACCAAGCCCTATGAGGAAAGACTGAAAGGATTGGGCATGTTTAGCCTTGGGAAAAGAAGACAGAGGGATGATATGATAACACTTTTCAGTTACCTGAAAGGCTGTCATACAGAGGAGGGGCAGGATCTGTTCTCGATCATCCCAGAGTGCAGGACAATGGGCTCAAGTTACGGGAAGCCAGATTTCGATTGGCAGGACAAACAATAATGGGCTCAAGTTACGGGAAGCCGGATTTCGATTGGATATCAGGAAAAACTTCCTGACTGTTAGAGCAGTAAGGCAGTGGAACCAATTACCTCAAGAGTTGGAGAGTGCTCCAATATTGGAGGCATTCAAGTGAAACCTAGACAACCACCTGGCAGATATCCTTTGATTTGTATTCTTGGATCGAGCAGGGGGGTGTACTTATAGGCCCCTTCCAACTTCACTATTCTATGATTCTATGAAATGACCACAGTCAAGTAAGGCTTTTCCAGAAATGGCAGAGGTCACAGAGCTCACTGTGAATCAACTGGCAACGCAAACAACAGGACTTCCATCTTACCTAAACTAAGTGCTACATCTACATGCCCTGGTTAGAAAGTTAAACACACACACACAGGGGAGCGAGGAATAGAGAAAACAGGTGGAATTGACAGAGTCTGTTCCAAGAAGCTCTTGATGTATCTTATTATTGAAGTAATTGTCTGATATCCAGGAAGGAAATGGACTTCTTATTCTATGCTGTAAAGCCACTTCTGACTTAGGGTGAACCTATGAATTAATCACCTCCAAAGGGTCCTGCTGTTTATAAGCCTGCTCAGGTTTTAAAAACTAAAGGCCACAGCTTTCTTTATTAATCTATCTGTCTCAGTAAAGAAAACAATGGTGTTTAGAAAATGCTTATTTAACCTTTGAATGTTAAAGTAATTTCTCTGGAAAGCTAAGCAGATACTCACAGAGTTATCAGTTACAGGCTCTTGTCAAGGTTTCCTGAGGAAAAGTACTACTCAAAACCAATAGAAGCCAAACATTTTATAATACAGTATAAGATACTGTAATTTATTATTTTTATTTTTTACAAAGTTGCTAGAGGATGTAAACTTCCTCCACATTTAAAAACACATTCAGATCCTTAAAAGAATCAGGGCCCCACCTTTCTTCCATACATAATGAAAGCCACAAAATAGGAATTGGCAGTTTCGTGCTTATCTGGAAGTGACATTATGTAAGGGTGAGGTGGCAGCTATCCATTTCATCTGTATATATCAAAGGTTAGCAACCTGCCACCCTAGAGACATTGTTGGAACTGACTTCCATCAGTGCTGGACAGCAAAGTGAAAGATAAAGGAGGATGGAAATTGTAGTCCACCATCATCTGAAGAGGGACATGGTGGCGCTGCGGGTTAAACTGCAGAAGCCTCTGTGCTGCAAGGTCGGAAGACCCACCCCCTAGAGTTGGACACGACTGGACTAAATGTCAAGGGGAACCTTTACCTTTACCATCTGAAGGGCCACATGTTGCCTATCCCTGTTGCACATTGTCCTCTAATTTGGTGGGTAACATACACAAATAACTGGAGAGGTGCACAAGGATTTCTATCCTCTCATCATGTCTACAGAGTACTTGGGGGCTCTAATTTGGTGGGTAACATACACAAATAATTGGAGAAGTGCACAAGGATTTCTATCTTCTCATCATGTCTACAGAGTACTTGGGGGGAGGGGCTACCAGACATTCCTTCCAAACTGCTTCAAAACTAAGATACAATCCACTCCTTTGAGAAAAAAATGAGATCAGTCTTGCAACTACTTTGTCTGAACTATTTGTGAACATAATGTTTTTTATAAATGCTGGATTACCTTGCACACTTGGTGATGGTGCCTCAGGTTGCACAGTAACAGGTATTTCAGCCAGAACAGGTGATGGCAAATCCAAACTTAATTGAAGAAGATACCCTTCTACAGTTGGAACTTCATCCCATTTAACTTGAAATGAATTAGTAGTTGCTCTGATCAGCTGGACCTGTGATGGTGCTGTTGGTTTCTCTTAAAGGGAGAACAGAAAGTATAATTTTGTATATGGGGTATTTTCAGGGCAGCTGAAAATTTTCTAACAAGTTACTCATGCAACAGGAAAAAAGTTTTTTTTTCTAATAAATTATTGAACAAAACCAGAATATGAATCTGTGCCAGTCGTAAATATAACCTTTAATTTACCAATTGTTTGAAAATGAATACACTGGGAAGACGGCCTATGCCACATTAAACTAGCCTGATTTAAACAATCTGAGGAAATCCAAGAATTATCATTTGAAGATTCACATCAGCATTTCATACACCTGGCTGCAGAAATATTCTCTCTTAATTTTGGTTTCTATGGTTCTTACAACTTCAGAGTTGTCCAGTACAGATGTGGTGGCAAACTATCTTTTCAAACTAAACAAAACAAAAAGAGAATTGGAGAGAAGAAAGGAGTAGGTGTGCAAGCATAGGGGCTTCCTAGTGCTTCAGACCACAAGCTGAAGAACTGGGGATGGTATGGGCCGAAATCAAACTGTTGGTCCCAACTAGAGTAGACCCACTAACTCAGCACAGAGTTGGTAAGTCCACATTCACATATGTTTCACTAGTTCAACAAACTAAATTCAACTGGTATTCTCAATTGGAACAGGCCTACAGAATGAACCGTTAAATGGTGAGCCAACACTAACATAAAGCCCATTCAGTTCAATGGATCTACTCAAGCTAAGGCAACCAACTGGATTTGGGCCAATGAGTTGAGTCTACTGTAATTGGGATTAACAATTCAATTTAGATTTATGTTTGACTCACTCCTAAAGTGGAGTTCCAGAACAGGCTTCATATGCACCTCAATATTTTTCTAAGACATACATAACATTTACATATGCTATAATAGCCATCTGTGATGTTATATAGCCATTTATTTTATGATCACTCACCGGTATCTAAATACCAAAGATCTTTGCAGCAAACTTGATTGTTCCAGGCTTTTCGGTAGCCATCTCTGCCACTCCATATATACAAGCGAGCACCAACTAATACGGCACAGTGGCCAGCTCTTGGGCCTGGCAGAGAGTTATCTTTATCTTCTTGGACATCTGAGATTAGATTTACCCATTCTATAGTATCTAACAAATAAAGCACATGACTGAAATCAATGCTTGAAAACATGAAACCTTCCAAGCAGTAAGGAGAGAATCAATTTCTGCACTAAACAGACTATTTGGCCGCTGGCTGATTTCACTGCTGCATATTTTTTAAATAATAATTAATCAACTGAACGCTAAGGGTTCAATTTGGTATTCCATTTGCATCATTCCCATCCAAAATCCTAAATCTTTCTTTTTAAGTGTAATTGTAATATGACAGTGCCACATATGTTTGATGCCATCATTGATATATTGCAATGACCTATGGTTTTAAGCAACCCAATAAAATAAAGTAAGCATCATTCCCATGCAACAGACGAACACAGCTGGGTTTTGAAGCACCTTTGGGCCGCTAGCCAAATTGTAAAACAAAATCATGCAAGAACATCATTGATAATACACAAACAAATCGGAGTCCGAAACTACCTTTTTTTTAAAAAAAGTGCTTTTTTAAAAAACAAAAACATGACAATTTCAGGGTGCAAGGCACTAAGCTACAGGTTGAGCAGCTGTAGGATTTCACAGGGAGTGGAATACATATTATGCCACTGCCATTAAATCTATGCCAGTGGAAGTCATCAGCCATGCCAGTGCAGCACATTTCTTTCTGACCAGTCTGTAAGACTGTTATCTAAAGAGGCAAAAGATGTATTGATGTGCTGACCTAAGTTTAGATAAGAAAACGAGCCAGTACATTTCCATTCTCCATCTTGAGAAGCCAGGTTATCATCTGTGTTCTGTGGGACCCATCCACCAAAAATGTACATTCTGCAAATACAACAGGGTAGGAAACACCGGGAAGCAGACAAGCAAATTTATTTTCCAAGGCTTACTTAGCTACTTTCACAGACTCTTCTTAAAACTTTTCCACTCTTTTCTTTACCAACTAGAACTTGAACTTTATTTTCCTATATGATGCTGCCGGTTGCTTTCTTGAAATATTGGCAGGCAGTTGGTCGCTTGTTACATCACAAGTACTACATACAGGTTTCAAGAATGCTGCTACAACACAAACTACAGAAGAACAGCTGCTTTAGGTACTGCATTTTTTTAAAAACACCCTAATAATACGGTACCCTATATGCATACGCTACAACACAAACTACAGAAGAACAGCTGCTTTAGGTACTGCATTTTTTATAAACACCCTAATAATTAAATACTATATGCATAACTTCTCCATAGCTTAATTCTGAAAAGGAGAAAAAATACCTTGGGAAGATCTCTTAATTGTGTCATAAGATGACCAGTGAGAGTTACAGAAGACATATTTGTTATATATTTGGTGTTTTCAGTGTTTTTAATGCTTTTATATTGTTTTTATGTCTCCTAATTTAAAAAAATGTATCTTACTTTTGCTCGTCAATGACCATAATAAACATTTATTATTATTATTGTTAAAAACATAAATTTAAACCACCACAATGTCCAGAGGGAATGGTGCAGTAAAATCAGATTAGTTAGCTTTCCCTGTCTGGGAGAAGCCTCAATTGTTACTACAATTCCTTTGGCCGTGTCTTGAACTGCCTTTTCTATAGTCTTCCAATGGTGATTGGAATCATGATTCTTTCATGCTGCTCCTGCTCCAGAAAATAGTAAACTGGCTGCACTTGCACAGTCCTCCTTGAATATACTGGGAGCTTTCATCTGGGATGAGACCATTCCAAAACTGTAAATGGAAACATCTAAACAAACCTTCCATTCATCCTGTGCTCACTGCAAAGTCCAAACCTAGCAATCTGACCTTCCCCTCCCTCCCCCTACCGTGCCTGAGAAATAAACCAAGAACAAGACTTGTGTTATTATTCCTCTGACTTATGAGGGAGGGGGAAAAACAAGCTGGACTGCTGGGTTTGAGCTTACAATTAACCAGAGGTGGGCAATCTCGAGAGGTCTGGGAGTCATAGACATCCACCTTTGGACTTTGGAGAGGCACACCTGCTGGGGAAGAAAAGCCCCAACTGTTATGCCCTTTGGTAGCTCGATAAAAGAGTATTTAAAAAAATTTAGGGTATGGGCAGTGGTGCCGGGATCACCGGTATGGTAAAAATCCCCACCACATCATGTAGAAGGCTGTTCAGAGCCAATTAAAAGAAGAAACATTTTCTGTGTATAAGACACCCCCATATATAAGATCCCCCCTTTTCTAACCCCAAATTAAGAAATCTTAACTTAGCTTTGAGTATTCAGCCTCTCGGCTCAGAATGCTCAGACATTACAAGTCCCTGTTGCATTTGAGCCCACAGGCTCCACCTCCAACAAGGTCTGTTCCAATTGGTTTGTTCAGCATCAGCTGATGTCAGTTCCATAAGGCTCATGATTGGAGGAAGCTAAGCCTCGTGACTGAAGCAAGCCTGTTTAAGGACAAGGCATGGGTGGTTTTGCTCTCTCCTCAGCTTACTTCCATGAATAAGATGCCCCTCAATTTTTAGTGTTATGATTTTAGGAAAAAGTAGTGTCTTATACACAAAAAATATGGTAAATCTTTGGAGTGTGGGGGTGCTGGGGGTGGCATTTACGCCTATGGGGGCCATTTGGTGCCTGCTCAGAATATAGAATAAATAAACCATGGAGGGAGTGATTTAACCATTGCCTCTTTGTAATAGTTTCTAAATACAGCCACTGTAGGAAACAAAAGATTCTCTGAATTTCTGGAGGCATCCACCACTTATTAAAAAGCCCTTGAGATGGAGAAAGAGGTCTCTTAATATGCAATTAATATCCATTCTTTTACCATGCTGATACTGTAGTAATCTGACACTAAGGTGAAGCAAAATATATACAGAGTTTATCATTCTCACATGGAGGGCTAGATGAAGTTCTCTGCAAGAAGATGAAGATATAATAAATGCACACTTTAAAAAGAAGAAGAAAGCAAGATTCAGTGGAGGATTCTGTCCATGAGAAATGATAGGATGGAACAAGATTTAGTAATGCTTAGAACAGAGCCAATAAAGTAATGAGACAAATTAATCATGACTAGTTAACACCCTATTGCTTTCAGAGAGTGTCTCTAAGCTTAACACAAAGTATGAACAGAAAGAAAATATTGTAATCTGTAGTGTAATCAACTTCCCAGTGATCACACAACGCACAGGGAAATGTGCTTGAGTCCAACCCCAGTCTGTGCCCAAGCTGGGCCTTTTTGGTCCAACTATACAGTTTGCATTTTGGGGGGCAAGACAAGCATGATTTTGCAGCAGACAGAATAGTCACTTAAAGGGACATTGCTCCAATTAAAGCAACAATTTCTAGTGTGATCAGGCTCATGCCTTTGCTACGATCTGATTGCACCCTAGTCTGAATCCAAATAATTATAAGCATTTATAAGTACTTCACTCAGGAGCTGTGTGTGCACGTGTGGTTGAGAGATTGGGCAGAGGAGATGGAGGGAGAGAGAGAGACCCATTTTAGGTCTTCCTTGTGCACTGGATAAAATATCTGTTAGGACTCTGTCTAGGCTACTTTAATGTCCCAACAATTCTATGGAACTGTTTTAAACAGTACAGAGTTGAACTTTGCAAACAAAAAAGGTGTTGCACTGCAGCTTATTCCTGAATAGTCAAACATAGAACTGAATTATATGACTGACAGGGAAATATTCAAATCACATTTGGCCCTGCCTGCTCTATCCATGTTTCTGCTCTGCCTTTCTTCCTTGCCTGGTATCAGAATATGGCTCCTAAAACTATTCCCAAATTGGAATTTAGCTGTATCCCTGCTAGAGAGAATGAACTGCATTGCGTTAAACCCAGTATGCATGCATGACAATCAGTTCAAAGGCAAGGGTTCCCTGTTTTTAAAGTTCCAATCCTACAGCTGTTGAAATTAATTGGAAGATCTGTGCTTTCTTTTCCTAGAAGACACCACAGGCTTTCTAACTAATCTCACATTGTAACATTTCATTCACTCTGAGGTCAGTTCAGGTACTCAAATGGCTAAAACATTTGTAAGTTAAATGTTTCTAGGTATTCATCACAATTTATACAATACACATCAGTTTCCTGGAGCTTGATTCCTTCAACTCTTAGAAGAACTTTTCATAAGGAAGAAATTTATAGAGATGAACACAGGCAGAATCCCTAAATATAGACACTAGAGTTAACAGTCTCCTACTAGGTGTACCTTTCTAGGTGAGCTTTTAACAACAGACATACTTGTTTCCTATTACACTGGCTGTATGGAGACTACGGGGAAGTGGCACTGTTCCTTTAGTTTCTGGTTTCGACCAAGTCATTGTTTCTATTAAGAAAAGAAAAAAACAGAGAGAGAAAGGGATTACTTCTTTGAACATTTATCAACTATACCCTTATAAAGTACTGTGTTCATAATTTTTCAGGCATGGTGAGGAGACTATGCATGCACAGATGTGGTACGTGCATACAGTAGTTTTAAGAAAAATTGGAAGAAGTACTTTCTGAAATACATAGTTGCTAGCATTAATTATTATAAAATGTGTTAAATGAAAAAGAAGAAGAAGAAAATACTTGACCAAATCCAATTGCTAATCCCAGTGAGAACAGACCTAGTGAAGCCAGTGTGTTGTAGTAGACAGAAAATTAAATAGGACTCAGGAGGTTTAAATTCTAAATTCAACCATCGAAATTTGTTGTAGGAGTGGCAAATGGTGAATGTTTCCTCGAACACCTCACATACCTTGAAAATACTATCAGGGTTGCCATAAACCACAAGGAAGCTGAACAGAGTAGATCCATTGAGTTAATGGGACATGTTATGTAAATCCCATTGAATTAGTGTTTAAGAATTTTTTTACACTAGCCCATCATCTGTCTAGAAGGCTCTACAGGCATGAACTCTAGTAACTTTCACAGGGCTCTTGCTTTAAGTCACGGGCATGACATATGGACTCAATGACTACTCCATCGTGATCTACCTACAGTTCCCAAGGAACATCACTTGTAGCCTTTTTACAAGATGAATTCTTATGTCTGCAAAAGCAGATGCTTTAGAATGGGAAACTGCTTTCTTTCCATGAAGCCATTAGGAGATTAACTCACTAACTGCTCTGCTGAGTTTGATGCTATACTGCTGAATGTTGTTGAAATGTTGAACTGATAATAAAAGCCTTGACATGTCCTTTGAAAATAAAGCACACAGTGAATGCATGCTTTGTTCTAAAGCAGAAAAATGTTTCCAAGACAGTTCAAGGAACACAATCCCGTTTTCTAGCAAGATGTGACACACCCACCCTCCCTCATGTGCCTCGTTTTCAAAGGAAATTCCAGACAGATGGTTGCTGGTGTTGCACTGCTGACATTTAGTGGCAACAAGGGTGACTGTGGCAGGGTTTTTTAAAAAAAAGGACGAAGTACAGCATGAAGTCAGGCCATGGGCCATGAATGACTCTGTGCTTGAACAAAGGCCTTACAAAATTTCTCAAAATATATCAAGACTTTTGCTTTCATGGCAATGAACATTTTAATGCGGGGTGGATCATTTATTATTAGATGACCACTGAATAGTTAAAAACATTACTGATGAGTAAACACAACTTCCTAAAAGACAGCTTGCTTTGTTTCAGTTTGGATAATGTCCTACTTGCGTATTTTAACCCATACACCTAAAATATTAAGACTGCATACAGCAAACAGGTTTAGTTTTTTTAAGTGGCGCCATACAGACACTAGACACTGTTCCAAGTCCTCCATACAGAGCATGTTACCATAGTCTCTCAAGACTGAAGGATGCCTATGATGATGACAGACGCCTAGGACTACATGCAGTTCCCTATTCAGAATATACATAGGTGCACGGATGTTTTGATGTGTTCAGGGTTTACAACGTTAAGTTGAAATAGAAGTAGCTCAATGAGTCCCACAGGTTTGTATACACATACTACAGTTAAATTATAAATTATTCAGAATTAGCAACCTCAGTGAATTTTTAAAAATGCAGCCATTTAATAGTACTCACCTATGTCAAGTTCCCAAAGATCATTAAGCCGACAGCCAGACATCCCTCCAAAAACAAACATTTTTGCTTTTCCAGAGTCTTTTCTACAGTATATGACGGCTGTGTGAGATTCTCGTGGAGAAGGCAGAATGCCCTTGGTCACTGGAATGCTCCAGCCTATGACTCCTGAGCCATGTTGTAGCTCCAGTTCATAGAAATCATTTAAATATCTAGTGTGTGATGACAAAACACAGAAAATCATTGAACTTTATATGGAAATATTATAAGGAACTCTTGCCCTTCCAATATGCTCCATTTATTCTTGCAGGTTTGCTCATTGACAAAAGTATGTTTAATTTTGAAAGGCCAAAAAGATTCAAGACAATTTCATTCCAAAGGGAATGTAATTACAAAAAGAATGTAGTAATTCTTTTGGGTAACTCCCAAACCAAATGATTTTGTGTCACCTAGAAAAACTAAGATTTTCTTTTGCAAGCTGTTTTTGAGTGGTTAAGGATAAGAAAAAATGAGCTAGAATAGCCAATCCTGAGCTCTTAGGTTACAATAGATTATCAATCCAAATAATAAAATAACTTTAATAATCAAAAATATACATAAAACTTGCAACTTGGGATTCCAAATAACTAATGGTTTCTGATATTTTACTGATTATAAATGGAACAGTTTCTACACCATTACAGTTTTTATTTTATTAATGTGGCAGTTCAAAGTCCCATCACACCATATTGCTACTGCCATTTTTTAACCCAAAGAATTCTTTGCACTAATATAAAGTCCTCTTAATACTAAAATGAGGATTTTGCCCCCCGCCCAAACTGCAAGTGTACATTTATATTCCACATTTCTAGAGTTCAAAATGATTACATTTCACATCTGGTTGTCAGTTTTCCTCGTCAGATTTGATAGGAGTTGCCGCAAAGACCTTTAGGCACTGGGAAGACTCAAACAAGTAATTCTTCATATTCGGTTCCATTATCCTCATACCTGGGAATGTTATTATTTGAGTCTTCACTCTCATTTGCCAATCCACCAAATAAGTAGCACTTGTTTCCGTACAAAGAAAAGCTGTGGCCAAGGCGAGGGCAAGGTGGGAGCCCTGTTGACGGATGCTGGGGTTTCATTTTCTTCCACAGCCACCGACTTGCCTTGAATACACAATCGGAACATGTTCATAAACCTACCCATTCACAAGTTATGTGCAAAGTGTTTCCAGATTAGTCTTTTATTGTGCATTCACCACATATAATTCAAAGCATTTTACAGGGTCTGAATTAAAGCAGACAGAATCACCAGGCAGAATGGCAAGCCATCTGCCTGTAACCTGGTAAAAAGAAACTCTACTTGAACCTTCTGAGAACTAGACGTGTCTAAAATCAGGTGGAGGCAGTTTACATGATTAGTTTTAACTGTTGTGAGCTGCCTTGGGTCTCCTACAGGGAGAAAGGCAACATACAAATAATATAAACAATACATAAATAAATGTGTTATAAATCAGCAAGAGGACTGCTGATCTTGTGTTCACCCTGATTTTAATTCACAGATTTAGTCAGATAAAAAATTATGACAGGTTTTGTCAGGGCGTTCACACATTTCAAATTTCTCCTGTTTTATGTACCCATAACGCATACATTTCACCAACTAGGACTTCCTTATCCTATTTGGGGATCTAAAACTGAGGTGGTCAAAAATGGCCCACTGACCAAATGCATGTCCCTAGCCGTACTGGTATTTAGGAGGAAAACTGCTATAAAAGCCTCTAACAATTTCCCACAATTTTTTTTAAATTTTAAATTAACTTTCTACTAGAATACACAAAAAATTAAAAGAGAGAAAAACATTTTCAGTTGAGGCTATGTGGGATTGCAAGTGTTTATAAACATCACTCATACCTGTAATTCATACAAATCATTACTGTATCTTCCATATTCGACCATTCCCCCAAATACTAGTATTCTGCTACCATCACAGACAAATCCATGAGCCGCACAGCCAGGTGGAATATCTCCTCGAACAGCAGGAAGAAACCATTGATTTGTAGCTAGATCAAAACAGACAAAAATACATTTGAAACAGAAATTGTCTTAAACCATAGTAAAAAGCTTGAGAACTGCAGTTTGGCACTATTGTTACTGAACAAGTGAACTAAATGTAACTTTTAAATATGAAATAACAAAGAAGAAACCTCACATTGTAACAATGGCAACCAATGTGCCGCACGTTGTAATTATGCACTTTAGACTATGTGTTTTAAAACAAAGATTGAAGTCCTCTATGTCTAGAAAATCTCCATCCGACAGCATAATCAATACATTACTTTCTAATATTGACATTATTTTTTTATTTATTGGACTTATATACCGCCCCACAGCGCTACAAGCACTCTCCGGGTGGTTTACAATTTTTTAAATTATACAGGCTACACATTGCCCCCCCAGCAAGCTGGGTACTCATTTTACCGACCTCGGAAGGATAGACGGCTGAGTCAACCTTGAGCTGGCTACCTGGGATTTGAACCCCAGGTCGTGAGCACAGTTTTAGCTTGCAGTACAGCATTTTAACCACTGCGCCACGAGGCTCTATTAACAGTAACATTAACAGTAATTTCAAAAGCAAATGACCCAAGAGGCTTGGGGGGGGGAGGAAATCCAACTATTCCTATGTAATTCCTCAGTTATGCCAACTATTTCTTACCAAATGCACATAGGCCAAACCACAAACCACAAAAGGTATGTGGTAAAGATAAAAGGGGTTAGAGAAAAATCTAAAATCATCTCATTGTTCTCATATTACTCCTAAACACATCTTTTCTGCCTTGAAAATCATTCTGAGTGAAGGAAGTGAAAACAGGTATATTTAATGGGTAAACATTATATCCTAGTTCCCCACATTACTGTTCCATTTTACCAAACACACATACTTCTCATATATAGATTTAATAGGGTACTGCCTCAAAAAATGATGCTTCTGCTCATTTATATATAGTAACTCAGTTTATTGTATGTTTGAAACAACACCAACAAGTCTGGGGCATTTTATGCTAAGTTTTATCTAACAGAAGCTAAAAGTCGACAAAAGCTGATGTCAAAGAAAACTTGTTAATTTTTCAGGAGCGATAAGTTTTTTTTTTCTATTTTGGCTGTAACAAACCAATAGATTGCCACTTTAGAAACTGAAACAATGTGATATTTGTATGTAAGTATCCTCACCTTACATTAATTTCCACAAAAATACCCTTTATAAAAATACCACCCTCATACTGCTTTCAAAATGAACCCTTAGTAAGTTATTCTACCTCTCAGCAAAAGCACCCAACTCTCTCTCTCTCTCTCACACACACACACACTCACTCACACACACACACACACACATGCAGACACACATCTTAAAACAGAGGTAAACATCAGGGGGGCTGTGCTGGACCCCCAGGAAGCTCACTATTGCTGAGACTACTGCCGCCATTTTGGTGGTGACCAATGCAACGGCTCTCTACAGCAGAACAGGTGACAGAGGATTCTCCTGCACCAGAGAGCCCTACCAGCCTGCAGAACAGGCATCTGCTTCCTTTCCAGACTATCTCTGGAAGTGGGGCAGGGCACGCTGTTGGCAGCTGTAGCAACACTGCCACTCATTGCAGTAGCACTGTAGCAGCAAGGGGAAGGCAGAGGAGCAGCAAATGGGGACAGCAGGTCTGCAAAAACAGTGGCACGGGGCACACGCCACTCCCGGAAGGCTTCCAAGAACACCTGGGTTACCTAAGGTTGGGAACTATACATCATCACAATCCACATTGTGGGTAATTAGTGCAGTGTAGCATTAAAGTTGTTGGGCTTCAGACTCGGGGGATCTGGGTTCTAAGCCTCCCTTAGCCCTGAAATACAGTGGATGACCATTGGTTAGTCATACTCTCTCAACCTGACTTATTCATAGAGGATAAAATGGAAAAAGGACAGCCATACATTCCACCCTGAGCACACTGAAGGAAACAAGGATTACTATATATACAGGTTGAAACACTATGGGTCCCTTTGCCAGGAGAAAAGCAGTGTAAACTTGCCATAAATAGATAATGTTACAAATACTGTAATAATAACTGAATGCTGTTACAAAAGGAAGCCATGCAGAACTGTTTGTTCTTCCTCCCTCCTGCCAAACCTCTTCACGCCATCAGAGACACATGATCATACTGCACATGTACCACCACCCTCCACATATGTATCTTCACCTTTGCCTGCATGCTAGTATTGTAACATTACTTTAAACACAGATGCCCCCTCCCCACAATGCCGCCTCCAACCATTTCCTATTACCCCTCGTCACATGCATATTGTCATATAATCTGATGCCCTGATATTATTTTATTGTGCATTTATATCACTCTTCTCTTTGTCCTACACATCTGGGCAACTTTTCTTGGAAATGCAAACGACAAGCGTACACATATGAACAATACGCAGTTCTCCAGAAATGAAAGTTGATTGCAGGGGTTTTAAAGAACACCCATGCTGTTTCAACTAGGCTGACTGACAAACGCTAGAGAATGGGAAATGTTCGACAGAGCTCTGTAATGCTTTGATAACATTCCACTTCTCAAATACTACGTTCTTGCCATTTACACCTCTCAGATATCCTTTTTGTATCTAAATCAAACGTTCCCTTTCACAGGCTTCAATATGTCCTGCAACAGGTTAGCTATAAAGGGTTACAAATGAGTTGTTTTTAATTAATTCCTCTCTCCTGTAAGAAAGATAAACTACAGTTCATTCCAACTGTAAATTAATGAAGGATAACTTTATTTCTTTTGCCATGTACCTGTAACTTGTTTGTGTTACTTTTTATAGTTATCGGGGTGTGGCCTCAGTATTCTGGACAAAGAAGAACATATGTTCAAGCACTGGCACATACTGGTCTCTCATGCTTGGATGTAGTTACTGAGGTAATAAAGCAGAGAGGAAAGAGTGCTTTGTATCATAGATCAGTTGCTTGCGGTGTTCAGATGTTACTTTAAAAAGTAACTACTGTATTCTTTCTACTTTTGAGAAAAGCAAACAATTTCTTACATGATTACAAGATAACAAACTGGGATGGGCTCCTAGGCAATCTATCTGTCTGTCTGTCTCCCCATAGGGGACCAAAGGCAGACCACATTTAAAATACTGTAACACAATAATAGCAAGTTGAAAATACTATACAAAGTTATATATTAAAAATAATTAAACATTGGTCAAAAAAATTTTAAAACATTTTAAAATATCTTAAATTTCAAAAATAAAATGTTTCCTAACCCACCCACCCCCAAAACACACAAAGACCTAATTTTTAATGGTAAGTTTCTAAGCTCTGTACACTGCTGCTGCTTCAATAGCCAGGGAAGTTAGATAATGACCAATATTATACATGTAGGTACAATATTATTGAACATTTACATCATTCTTCAATATTGTGCTTTGCTCACAGATGCATGACTATAAATATCTGAGGTCTGGATAATACAACCAACAGCAATTTAAACTTAAACTAAAACTAAAAGCCACAGAACAACTCCACTGCTCTTAATTCATTGATGTGGGGAATATGGGTAAATGTTCCCCTCCACATACTAAATCATTAGCTAAATGATGAGAATTACAGAAACACAATCTGGAGAGACACAAACTCCTCACTCTTGTGTTAAACTGTTACACTCATATTTGGGACAGCCAAATCCAGAGAATCTTGAATGACTTTGGACCGATCTCTCAAAGCCTGACCAACCTCACAGGGTTTTTATGAGTCCCCTTATCAGGAGAAAGGCAGCATATAAATAAAACATACAAATAAATGAATAAGTTCCAGCTTAAAATTTTACTTTTTGAACTATAGTTCTCAGAACCCCCAGCCAGCTTGGCCACTAGCTGGAAGGGTCTGCACCTGCAGTCCAAAAATGTAACTTTTCCAAGCCGTAGTTGTCATAACAATAACAGGGGAAGAGGATGTGGTTGTTCTGTGCTGTCAAATTGGAACCGTATTCTAGCAACCCTAATAGGGCTTCAAAGGTAAGCGAGATATCTTAAGGAGTGGTTTTATCAGTTCCGTTCCCCCAGTGAGTTTTGAGCAAATCAGGCAAAAGATAAAACATAAGCATTAACTAATAAATAATAAAAGAATCTTGTCCAGAAATTTGGTGCATGTTAAAAGATTGCATGGGAGGAAAGTCCAGATGCTCCCTTTCTTTTCCAATGAACACATCTCCCAATGAAGTTGAATAACAATTAAAATATACTTTTCCACCAGTCCGCTGAGGAAAGATATACAAAGCTCCCAAATATAAAAGTACTGTGCCACCTTAAAGACTACAAGATTTATTTCAGCATGAGTCACAATACATTCCTTTTTGTGTTGCATCATATTGAAACAGATTAACAGGGCTGCTTCTTCCAGAACAGTTCATAAAGACATGTTCTCTCTTACTTGATGCAGGAATCTGCTTGTTTGCCTAACACCCACCTAAGGTCGTGTTCCCTCGTAGTATGTATGTATGTATGTATGTATGTATGTATGTATGTATGATTATTATCATCATCATCATCATCATCATCATCATCATCATCATCATCAATCATCATCATCAGCAGCAGCAGCAGCAGCAGCGATTTCATTTTAACAGGAAAACAAAAGAATGTCCTTTTTTTTTTACTTCGTTCACACCAAACATTTTATCCCTTTAATGGCCATGCATTTCCAATGTATCAAAAGGCACAAGTGGGAAACAATAACAAAACAAGGAGCGAGGAGTCTCCTGGCATATTTAAGGCTAGCAGATTTATTTCTGCACTAGCTTTCGTAGATAATGACCCATTTCCTCGGGTTGCACACACACACACGGACACGCACACACACACACACACACACACACACACCCGCCAAGGTAGAGCAGAAGATGGAAAGAGTTTTCCTAATAACCCACAGCCCTTGGTGCTACTCTGCCAGGGCATCTATCTCAGCACGGATGCCCTTGAGTTCAAAGCGCCCGTCTCTCCTGGGTCACATTCCGTGCTCCGGTCTGCGACAGCAACAACCGCACACACCCACAAAGTCCTGTGGGTTTGTGGGTTTTTTTTTATTTTATTTTAAGGGCGGCGGGCGGCTCCGTGGGCAAGGAAAGCGTGAGGAGCCATAAGGCGTGCGCTGCAAAAAAACTGCCTGGTCCATCTTGATCAGATGCCCCTGGACTCTTTGCAACTCTTCCCTGTCATCTGAAAGCCATTCTAACTCTCCTTCCTGGCTCCCTTCCACAGAGTCGTTGCACAAACGGACTCCTGAGGCGACGCTGGTTATTGGGAGGACAACAGTCCAAGGCGCCAGATGCCATCCGAGCTCGAAGCGGGCAGCGCCCCTGGCAAGCCAAGGGAACCAGCCTTGCCCGCCTGCCTGCCACCCTCCCGCTTCGCTCGCTCGCTCGCTCGCCCGCTCTCTTTCCCGCACACTCCCTACCGGTGTTGTACACATGCAGCTCATCAGCGATGCCCTCGTTGCCGCCCCCGAAAATAATGATCATATCTCGGATCGCCACGGCGCGATGCCCATGCCGGGATCGGGGCACTGGCCCCGTGAAGGAAGACACCCGCCTCCAATTGAGGGCAGCGGCGCCCGCCGCCATCTTATCCCCCGCAGACCACAATGCACCGCGGCAAGAGCCAAGGCCGCCGCCGGGGCCGGGTTAGCTGAGGGGAAGGGGGGAGCCCGAGGGTGGACGCTGGAGCGCTGTTTTACAGGAGGATTCAGTCACGAATAAGGAGAAGAATAAGTAAAAGGAATATGAATATGAATTATAACAATAAAAACAATAATGGGCACTTGTTCCTCAAGCCTAATTCTGCTACTACTCTACATGGGACCACGGCTGTTTGAACTCCAAGTGCCTCTTTTTTTGAATAGGATGGTCGGGGTTGTTGTTCCAGTTTCCAACTCCTCTGCTGTAACGATTTGATGTCGGTAACTTTTGTTTGAATGAAAGAAATGCTGCATCTCTGGCCTAATCCGTGCACTGGCACGGTTTTTATTTATTAGACCTCCCCTCCTCCAGGGGAGCAAACTGGTGTGTTAGGGATACCGGCTCAGCGGCAGGAGGTATTTATTTAGAAAGCTTTTTGTATTGATATCGTTTTAACTGCACTCTAGGTCTCTGGTATCGTATGCTGTTCGAGATTATCTGTAAAGAGAAGGAGAAACATAATAAGAATGGTTTTAAACGGTTCTTGAGAAAGTGCAGAGTGCGATTCTCGTTGCTACTGCAGATGTACTGAGCATTCCTGGTCTTTAAAAACGGAAACATTGTATTTGCAGATAGTTTGAGCTCAAACATGTATTTTACTAGAAAATAATATGCATTTGGGCTCAAATCTGTTTGCACACACCATTTTTTCCAGTTCCTAAAGATTAGGAATTCTCAGCACATATACAGTAGTAAGGAGAACTGCACTCTGCACTTTCTCAAGGACATTTTAAAAAGATCTAATTGATTATTTTTCTCCTGTTTCCAGGCCATCCAGAACAGTTCTGAATACTCAGTACCTAAAATACCTTAAAGCAATATCAATACAAAACAAAGAGTGCTACATAGGTTCTACAGGTGAGGCTGACATTCCCAAGTGCTCTGGTCTTTTTTTTGAAACAAGGTGTTCTTTTAAAGATGGTGGGTTCCAAATTTTCCTCACTACTTGCCTACCCAGGACAGGAGCAATCCCGCATGAGCTGTGTTGGCTCAGATGCAGCTGAGGATGAAATGGCAGGAGGTTGCATGTTTGCTTTTGAAGGGGAGACAAAGAGACTTAAGCTATGTTCTGGACTGCCTGACTTGTCCACACATGTATGATAGTGTTCTAACGCACATGCACGCAATCTCGCCCAGCAATGTACTTCATGAAACTATGCCAGTTGTCTTTATGTGCCTATTGTTAAAAGACAGATTGCCACATGGCAACACAGTATGCTTATAATCACAGTGTACACTGTATCAGTATGTCTTTATATCTCACATGCAGATGATAGATAGACAGATAGCTTTAGGGGACATGCAGATTATTATGATTATGAAAACAGCTTCGTACTTAAGAGCAAACAATAGATGCCTGTGATTTATTTCTTTTCTCATAGGATCCAAAAGAACTGTATAATGTGGTGGAGGGGAACATATCACAATCTGGGTCTTCATCTTTATTTATTGAAATGCTTATCTTACTTTTGAGACCCAACAGGATTTCCAAGGAGGACATATTATGTTAATATTTTGTAGTTCAAGGAAATCAAAATACAACTTGAGCAACAAACTATCCAGCACAATCTAAAGCAAACAGTGGCCAAAACTAGACAAGGGGACAGGATGAAATTGCCATGACCAATTATTCCCTTTAAATTTTGCTCTGGGCAAAATTTTGTGATTGCCCTGGGCAAAATTTTGCCCATATAGGGCAAAAATGGCCTTTGAATCAGGTAAAAAAAAGCTTACAAAAACAGTGAGGGCTGGAAGCTGATATTGGAATTGAAAAGACCCTTGACTTGAATCCCTATAAATATGCTCTTATTGGTCATAGATTGCTTATTGATTTCTTATTGAAAACATGTGTTGACCGGAAAATAGGGCAAACCAAACTGCAACAAAAATGAAACCAAATAGTGAGTGATATGCCCAATCGAATTGTCCCTTAAATTATATATTGTTTCCAATATGACAAAGGGATAAATTTATTCCTTTTGTACTGTATTGGTAACTGTTTCAGCTACTTTTAAATTACTTCTAGAATAACAGGGTGTTGTGCCTCAGATGTTGCTTCTATCACTGGCCAGTGATTTTTAGCATGCTGACTGTTTTTTAAAGTAGCTAAGTAGTGTCATTAATTAGAGGTACTGGACTCTTTGTGCACAGCAGGAGAGTAAGCTGAACATGTTCCATATGCGCTGTCCATATGTTCCAACACACATTTTTGGTATCACCTGGCAGGACAAAGTTCCAAATAGAGTAGTCCTACAATGAGCTGGAATTTTTAGCATGTATACGTTGCTGAAACAGCAATGTCTACATTGGCTTGGGCATGTAATGAGAATGACTGATAGTCAGATTCCAAAAGATCTCCTGTATGGAGAATTAGTGCAAGGAAAGTGCCCCAGAGGGAGACCACAGCTGCGATACAAGGATATCTGCAAATTACGAATGTTATTCCATAAACAAAAAAGTCCACTATCATGTAATAGTTATTGTTTCATACTTGGAAAACTCATAAACACTACACTGTTCGAGATTATGTGGAAAAAATCTTGAGCAAAAATGTAATCTGGGCACAACTTTTGCACACGTTCCCCCCTTCCCCACTCCCCCCACTCTCTCTGGAATTTTCTGTCTGATGAGGATTTACTGGAGTGGGAGGAGAAAAGTTAGCTAGTTCTGGAGCTGCATCATTCAGCACATCTGGAAGCAGTTTGTGTGACGTTCTTTCACTCTAGCAGAGCAACGTCTGGATTTTCTGTAGCTCTGTAATTACAAAAAACGAAGGAAAACAGTTGCTAGGAAAATATAGAAGAATTTAAAAACACATTTCTCCATTAGAGTGTTTTTATAGATCCTTTAGTGGACCTTCAAGTTTCTTGCCTGCAGGATTTCAACAGCGAACCCATGAGAGAGACAGTTCTGGCATGAATGTTTTCAACACAGGACCATCTAGCTACCAGGAGCAGCTGCCCTGCATTCATTTTTCTGGAGAAAGAATTCCCAATTGCTCTGCTTACTTTGAAAGGTAAAAGATTTAATTCTGCAGGAAATACCACAATCACCATTTCTTTGTCTTTCTCCCCTTGCTGCACGCTCTCATTTTGCTATATTATGATCATATCTGGATATTGTCAGTAGCCAGTAATAAATGTTCAAGTGCCTTTGGTAAATGTTTGCAAAGTAATGGACTAACATGATCTCACTTTCCAAAAATTAAATTCTTTTTTATATATTCCACACAAAAAACACTGCAATTTTTGATACATGTTTCTCGAGCTTTGCATATGAGACTTCAAGTCTGGAGGGAGTTACACAATTGTTTTCAGGAAAGTAGAAAGTTTGATACATTACAGATGACAACTGTAGGCTCTAATGGGTTTGGATGCTAGCATATTCCAGGTGTAGGTTTCTTTACTCACAATAATTATTGTGTTTCATTGGGAAATGCACATGTCTTCTGTGCCACAAAAGAGGACTTCAGATATAAATTATTTTCTTAAATAAAAATATCAGTAAGATGCTGAAACCTGATTCTATATGCAGTTCTTTGTATTCAGTGATTTGATAAATTTGTTCATATGTTTGTTCATTGCTTAGGACATCCATCACCATAAGTTGGCATCAACTTGATGGCACATAGCTATTATTATTAGGACATACAGTACCACAATGCTGATTAATCAGAACAGCAAAGTAGGTCCAATATCTTGTTACTATCCTATGTGAGAAAAAAATTGAATTATCTTCAAATAAGAATGATAAAACACTGTATCAACAAGCTGTTCTTCCTCTTTTTATATTTCTGATTATAGCAAATAATGCAACCTTTTTCTTATCATTCCCCCCCCCTTTTTTTTTAACAAGGCCTCAGTTTTACGCGAGAAAGAACAGATTATAAATTTATTTAAATACAATTGAAACAATTCTTTCCTAACATGAATGGTAAGGTGGGGTGGGGTGGGGACAATATACTAGAAATCTTCAAGAATCTCTTATGGAAAATGATACTAACTTAAATAAAGCTGTTAACGCCCTTTGTTTTATTTATGTTTTTGCAAACCTTTACTTAGCGTGGCCAAGTGAGTGGTTTTGGCAGCTTTTGGAGAGACAGAAGCAAAAGAAAGAGCAGAGAGAGTTGTAGCAATAACTGTTTAGGGTCTGCATGTATATTTGCAAATCAAGCAATCAAGACCCCTATGATTTCAGTACTCTCTCACCCAGTGAGAATTAAAGCTAGAAATATTGCTTGTGGTACCTCTTACCCATCAGAGGTGTGTTTAAAAATATGTATCCAGGGCAAACATTTTATATCATGAGCCAACAGTGTGATTTCCTTCTGTATCTATTTCAAATGGGTCCATCATGGTGTTTGTATAACATATACAGATATTCAGCGAAAACATTAAGCATCCTGTTGCATATGTCTAATGCCTGTTTAGATAGATATTTAGAAAAACACAACACGATTATGTGTTGATTTCTATGTGACATCTCAGTTAGAACTAACATCAATTTACATATCAACATTGGATGGATCTGTACATTAGAATGTATAAAAGATCTTGTGATGTCAAATATGCATTTAACACTCATGTAAGAAAAAATAACACAAACTTCCTTTTGGACCAAATTGCTGAAAAACTTTGACTTTGTTTAGAAGAATAATGAGATGCTATATCAAATTGCTATATGTACGTATGGTCCAAATACTGGACTGTTAATCTTTTCTTAAATTGGCCTTGCTCAATTTGTGTACATTAATCCCCTGACTTCCTCATGCAGTGTTTTCATGTATAAGGCCACAAATGTTTTTCTTAAATCAATCTGTCTTACTGCCTAAAACTGACACCGGAAAGAATTTATCTTCTGCCCTCAGTCTCTTGTCACAATATACTTACCTGGAATAAACAATGTGAAATTGTTCTTTTAAGTGTCATGTGGACAAGTGATTGACATGAGCTTTTCCCAACCCTCTCCCACTGGCTTTAGCTGGTAATATTTGTCCTTCAGCTTTATGACAAATCTCTAGTTACCCAGATATTCTATTTTATATTGGCCTCTCTCCCTGTTCAGGGACCTGGCTGTGCATAACTACCTAAAGGAAGGGAGATAGTGTTGTTAGTTTTCGAAGTTCTCACACAAAGGTGTTTTTTTTTTAATATACAAAGCTCTCTTCCTTCTCTGAGAGATATGCAGGCTGAGATCCAAATTCACCCAGTTAATTTAATGGATCAGTGGGGACTTTATTCTGGATCTCTCAGGCCTCAGTCTAAAACTGTAATCACTACACCTGTACAGGTATATGGGTAAATTTATTTTAGATTAAAAAGCAGATGCAATAGAAGGCTTAATCTTTCTCCATCCTGTGCACTGGTCCTAGTTTCTCTTAGCCCTGCTCATCATACTTTAGAGTCAAATAAGAGTGCTCATTAGCTGATTAATTGCATGCTACATGTTTTCCTTAGTGTGTGGTTTCGCCTGCAGAACAGCATAGGTTTAATATGACAATATTGCTTTGATTGCTAAAATCCTGTTGCTTAGCATAAGAAAATTCATGACTTTCAGTCTATTCCTGTCCGGCAAATTAACAGCCCCTGCCACATTTCTCAGGTGTGTGCATGCCCTAAGCAATAGGATTTTAGCTATTGTGAGTGTAATAGATGCACACACTCCACTTGAACACACTCATTTGGGGTTTGAGTATGTTAAGGACGCAATACCATCAATTTGCGAGAGTCCATTACGAATCTGGAGTCTCAACAGGGTAAGGTAAAGGTAAAGGTTCCCCTTGACAATTTTTGTCCAGTCGTGTTCGACTCTAGGGAGCGGTGCTCATCCCCATTTCTAAGCCATAGAGCCAGCGTTTGTCCAAAGACAATCTTCCGTGGTCACATGGCCAGTGCGACTTAGACACGTAACGCTGTTACCTTCCCACCGAGGTGGTCCCTATTGATCTACTTGCATTTGCATGCTTTCGAACCGCTAGGTTGGTGGGAGCTGGGACAAGCAACGGGTGCTCACTCCGCCACGTAGATTCGATCCTACAACTGCTTGGTCTTCAGGGTAGCCAAGGCAAAATGGCCAGACCTCTGACACATTATTAATATGTATCTGTTGTCTTCAGGAATTAATGGTCAAGTCTGCAGAAGAGAATTGATCACTCTAGTAGTGGTCAGGATGGGGAAATTCTTGAGCGACATCCAATGCATAACAGTAGTAGCAGACGAAAAAATCCAGAACAAGAAGTAGATAATACTCTGTGGTCAAAGTCAGCCACTGTGGAATTACAAAGGATAAATACAGATAGTATGTTTGCTAGTGAAGGAATTGGACTAAACTCCAAAGAAGATCTAGCTGATAATATGTATAGACAGAGACAAAAAGGAAATCTAATGCTTCATAATGTACATAATTAGAACATAAAATGTGACAGCTATGAATCAAGGTAAGCGCAAAAAAATAAAACAAGAAATGGAACATTTGAACATATTTATTTATTTAAAATATTTTTACCCTGCCTTTCTCCCTAAAAGGACACATGGTAGTATTTACTGTTAGCAAATGGAAGTAGAATGGACTGAGAAATTTTCAGTCCAATAATTCCACAGTGTTTCATTCTGGAAACAATAAACTCAGAAGAAATGGCATGCCTCTAATATTGAGTTGACACATAGCAGAAGTTGTGAGGAGCTTTAAAGCAAAATCTGACAGAATAATACAATCCAGATTTCTTAGAAAAACTGTCAGCATAACCATCATTCCAGTCTATGCTCCAGCTACAGATGCTGAAGACAAAGAAACAGAAAGCTTTTATTCAAGTGCCAAAAAGGAAATTAATCATACAAAACAGGATGTGCTGATAATCCTGGGTGACTGGAATGCAAAAGTAGGAAATAAAACAGAACAAAATATGTAATGCCCTAGGAGTTAGAAACAAAGCAGGAATAGAACTGGTAGAATTCTGAGGAGCCACAATAGTTTGTCTATGGCAAGAACATGCTTCAGGCAGCTGAACAGATTCTGGCAAATGAACATCACCAGAATGTCATAGAAATCAAATGGCATATATAAGTAGTACAAGCAGATGATGAGAAAGGACTGTGGACAAGAGGAAGGATAAATTTAAGCTCTAAAAACTGAATCTATCAAAATCCTTACCAAAAGATGTGAACAAATATGGAAGAGAAAGCAATGACCCACAAACTGAAGATGTTCAATATACAGTGAAATCTCAAAGACAGAGCTGCCAAAAATTGCAGTAACTATGGGGAAATATCATGAATTTTTCATGCAACCAGCAATGGTTTTCCATATATGGAGCGAGAAATGCCAAATGTTCAAGTTAGCTTCAGAAATGTAGGATGCACTATATCACAATTATAAACTGGCTACTGGAATGTGTCAAAGACTTTCAGAAGAAAATCAGCTTGTGCATTACAGATTACAGTAAAGCCTTTCATAGACTCACAGAATCATAGATTGACTGTCCTTTAGATCAGTGGTCCCCAACCTTGGGCCTCCAGATGTTCTTGGACTACAACTCCCAGAAGCCTTCATCACCATCTCTGTTGGCTAGGATTTCTGGGAGCTGAAGTCCAAGAACATCTGGAGGCCCAAGGTTGGGGACCCCTGCTCTAGATCGTGAAAATCTGTGGATCATTCTAAAAGAAATGAGTATTCCACAACATTTGATCGGCCTAATGTGATAGGCTGTATTCTGGACCAGTAGCTCCTGTTGGGCCAAAACCTGGAGAAACAGAATGGTTTCCACTTGGCCGAGACATTGTTCATGGGTGCATTTTATCTTCCTTTCTGTTCAGTCTATATGCAAATTGTATCATACAAAAAGCTGAACTAGATTCAGATAGAGGAGTGAGAACTGGTAGAAGAAACATCAGTAATTTAATATATGCACATGATAGCATATTACTAGCAGAAAATAGCAATAACAAAATGAGTACTGATGAAAATTAAAGAAAGCAGGAAGGGAATATTACAGTTGAAAATTAAGCGGACAAAAATAACTGTGTTTACCTTTAATGATAGTGATCAAGAAATTAAAATTATCAAGGATTTTCTCTACCTGTGTTCAGCAATTAATCAAGTCTTGGAAGGCCAGCTATGAAGGAACTATAAAAGATCCATAAGAATAAACATGCTGAAGACTGAAGCCAAGATCATTAATACCATGATATTCACAATTACTTTATATGGGTATTATGGTTGGATAATGAAAAAAAGCTGGCAATCCATTTGAAATATGACGGTGAAAGAAAGGTTTACAGATACCATGGGCTGCCAGAAAGACAAATAACTGGGTTCTGCCTGAACGCTTCAGTAAATAAAAGCACAACTTATAGGATGGCTGTTAATGGGTCCTTTTAAGGAAAAAGGCAGGGTAAACATATTTAAAATAAATACATTTAAATAAATACACTTTTCCTATATCTTCTCAGAGAGACTCAGCTCACTAAATGCTTTAGTATAGAAAAGTAGAGTAGAATGTTTTTTTTTAAATGGCGGGGGAGAATTGGTTTCACTAAGTGTGCTTATTTTTGAAAATGTATTGTATGTCTACTGTCTGCTGCATGGATTTCAGATGCTTCCTATTCAAGTTGAGAGCAAATTTAAACTTAGTGGAATGAATCTGGATGTATAAGAGTGAGATGAAACACAGATGAAATACATTATGTGTGTAAATGTTTTCCTGTTATTTTTAACCTTCTCTTCTTTTTTCCAACTATAGATTGCAACCAAATGAAAGAATCCCATGGCTATATTACGCAAAAGTAAGCCTTTCTGAGGTGGGGAGGGGAGTTAATTTAACTAATTAGGAGCTAAATTACACTTTACAATGTATCTAGCATTAGAACCTGAAATCTCTTCGTGTTCCAGATACAGTATGATTCCTTTCTGGCTAAGCAGTCATATTAAGGTACAAGTGGAAGCCAGTGTTTCCTTCTGGATGAGCAATCACAGAATATGTGAAAAGCTCTTGGCTGTGACAATCTGACATTTCCAGCACTTAAGGCCTTCCCTTTTCTAATGACAGGCCAACTGTACTGTATCATTTGGCCCATATCAGAACTGAAACCTGCATCCAGTTAAGAATCATCAACAAAGCATTTCGTAGAGGTGAATGAACAGTTGGCAGAGACAAATGCTGAGGAGCAGGAAGTTAATATGATTTAATATTCTTCTTGATCTATGCAATACTTTACAAATGTAATTAAATCAGTTACCATAGTAAAAATAATCAAAATCCATTAAAAGCATCCAACTTAAAAAAAAAAAATGAAAATTACAACTGTGAATAGAGAAGTGCTGCACATCCCTTAAGCCCCAACCAATCAGTTGCCAAAAGGTCTATCTAAATTAGAAGGGTTTTGTGTGCCAGAGGAAGGGTGTCAGGGAGGTGACTGAACTAGCCTCTTTTGGCAGGGAAGTCCATAGTCTGGAAGTGGTCCCCTAAAAGAGCATTTTGTATCCTCACCGAACAGGGCTCAGAAGTTGGAAAGATCAAGGCCTTCTCCTGTAGATTTGGAAGCTCAGGCAAACTTGTATGGGAGACTACAACCTTTCAGGACTTAAGTCCCATTTACCTCATGAGACTTGAAACTGAATAAATAACAGAACTGATCCAAAACATTTTGTTACTGGAGGCAAAATAATAAATAGTGTCCCCTTCCACCAGGTTACACTGGCATCTGAGGCAGAATAGCCTACAAGCAATTCTCCCTAGGAATGTCTTTTGTATTGTATTTCTAGAAATACAAGGAGAATAGCCTACAAGCAATTCTCCCTAGGAGTGTTTGTATTGCATTTCTAGAAATACAAGAAAAACAGTTACTTCTTACAGTTAGTGTCTCACTTCAAGTAATAATGCAAAAATCCACCTTAAAGAATATGCTTAACCATATGCCATTCAATCTTACAGTTAGTGTCTCACTTCAAGTAATGCAAAAATCCACCTTAATGAATATGCTTAACCATATGCCATTCACTGCATACAATATTGGTTACTGACCAGCTGTTTCTTCTGTTTCAGTTAACCAAATCCTACTGTTTCTTCTCGTTTTCACTCTCTGTATCATCCTGTACAATAAAGTTCACAAGATGCCATCCGCCATTTTGAAGACTGAGCCAGGTAAGCACCAGCTGTCAGAATCTATTTTTATTTTTGCATTACTCAGGCCAAATACTTTCTGTTTGTAATGGGACATAAGCAGGAACCTGGATTCTGAGTTTCTAATGCTTTGCTTCTGTGCCTTTTCACCCTTTTCAGTCTTTGCTGAAAGGCAGTGCTTCAGGTTTATCAGCTGTTTACATATAGTGATGCTCACACGTGGTGTAAAAAAGAACAGGGGGGAATATAAAACATAAGGAAATATGTCAACATGTGAGTAATGTCTAAGGATGTGAATATCTGTCACTTCTTGTTGAATTTTTTAGAATCGCACTGGTGTTCGTGTTCTGCCCCTGTTCTGTATTCCTCCCTCTCGAGACAGAAATGTGTGCTTATTGTGGCATATATTGTTTCTAACAGACCCTTTTATGTATGCTCTTTTCTCATTGACTAAAGCATGCTTAGGCACTCTTCAACTGTATGCAGTTTTTGTTGAGTACTTTTAAAAAATGTATACATGGCTTCATGCACATTTTTTGTTCACCCGAATATATTGAAACCATTTGAAATGTATTTCCAAGGCAAGATGTACTTTGTCTTGGAACCTGCAAACCTATAATTTTTCTATAGAAAAGTGGATCTAACCAGTTTCTTTCCCACCACGAGCAATATCATAAACAAATACGGCAACAGGAACACCACATATGTAGAAGAAATGAGGCCCTCAGTAGGAGATGCCCGAGAAGTCAAGTTAGAGGCACAAACAGCATTGTCTTTAAACTGGATTCTCTCCCCAGTCCTAGTATTCATTTAGAAATCTCCATAAGATGCTAGATAAAATAGAACTAAATTAATGGTGTTTCTCTTTGTTCATTTCATTAGTCGATCTGGAGAACCCAGAGGACATGGAAGAAGAGATTCCTGTGGTGATATGTGCTGCTGCAGGCAGAATGGGTGCAGCAATAGCAGCGATAAACAGCATTTATAGTAACACCGATTCTAATGTCTTATTCTATGTAGTGGGGTTAAAACATGGCATTCCACATATCAGGTAAATATAAAATGATGAAATTGTTTCAGTTATTTAGGGCACTATCATGTATTTGAGATGCACCAGCTGAGGGGGGCCTAAGTATTGGTGAGGGATCCACTGCCTTGGTGGAAAGTGAGCATTACTGCTGCCAGAACACACCTGAAAGCCTGGTACAATAGCTAAACTGCAGAGGGTCTTGGCCAGCTGCAGCAGAGCCGAAGAGATGAGAATGAAGGGATAGAGGAAGAGGTAGAAGAATGAATCACCCTGTGATCCTGTTTAAATAGTCAAGAAGAAATGTGATTCCTGTAATTCAGTTTCACACATTTGCCTATGCTCATATGCTGCAAAATAATGTCCAACACTTAATGTGCTCATGGACTAAATTAAGCAAGAGGCAGAATCGTCAGACAGCTGCTTCATCTTCCAACCAGCATGGCATCTATGTGAAGGTTATGTTAGGATGCTGGATTGCTGAGACACTGTTAGGATAACAAAAGAACATCATTTGAAAATTTGAGAGAGCTTAGAAATTGTTCATAACAGTGTGTTTCAAAATGTCTCTCTCTCTCTCTCTCTCGCTCTGCCTTTTTCTTGTTTCATAGACTGTATGTTGGGCAATGTGTTATGCAAACAAAGGTTATGAACAGTAGGTCCTGTGATGCGGGCACCGTGGAAAGACTGAGTGGCAAATAGTGTATTCCAGTTTATACATCCTTGTTCTTTTTTTCCATTGTTTCAGAAAGTGGATTGAAAATTCCAAACTGAAAGACATAAAGTTTAAAATTGTGGAATTCAACCCCATGGTGCTGAAAGGGAAAATCAGACCAGATGCAGCCCGTCCTGAGTTACTTCAGCCTGTGAGCATACAAACATTTCATTGGTTTATTTATTTCAATGATTTAGACACCATGGAGCTGTGAATTAAAACACTTCCTTTGTGAAATAAACACATAGTGGGGTCCATTTTCATAAAAGACTTCTCACACCCATTTATCTTTCTCAACAAAATTTAGTATTCTTGCATATTTATAAAGTAACAGTATCAAAACTTGAGCAGATAAATATAATTTGTTTGTAGTTGCTCAAGAAAAGATGTTTTCCAGAAGGGGAAATATTGACAAAAGCATTAATTTGAGTAAAGAAAGTAATTTGTATCATGCTGAACTCTGTGATATGAAAATCTGGTATTAATCCTGCTGTATCCAATTGAATTGAATTGAATTGAATTCATGAGAAAGTAATTTGTATCATGCTGAACTCTGATATGAAAATCTGGTATTAATTCTGCTGTATCTAATTGAATTGAATTGAATTTACTTTATTATCATTATACTTCCATACAATAAAATTAAATGCCATCTCCAGTACACATAATAATAAAACACACAAGAATCTCTCTTGTTAGAGGCAGTTTTGGCCAGATGCAACCATTCTATTCTAAATGTTGGTCCTCACTCTGTGGCAGAATTGCAGGTTGCAATTCAGAAATTATACTACTTTATATTGACATATTTTCCAGTGCTAACAGCACACTTATAACCCAGTTGGAAGAAATGTGTTGTTTCTATAGGGTTGCCAGGTTGTAACCGGTAGACTATACACTGTGCTTTTAAATATTCTGATACAGCAGGAGATAGGACAGTCCTGGCTTCGTCTGAATGGTGATTTCCATGTTTTCTCTTTCCCTCTAGTCTGCTGCAACAAATAAAGTCTCTTGCAGCAATAGGAAGTTACTTTTCTGAACTATATCAGGGAACTTAAAAGATGCAATATAAATATTGAGGTTGCGATCTGGCAGTCTACTAAGGTGACATAAAAATTCCTACCCTTGACTTCCTGTTTTAGGAATCATAGGATTTAGCTCAACTCTTCTTTTATTTTGAACTGAAAAGCAGCTAGAGATTACAGTTTTATCAAATATGTGTTTCTTCCATTGCTGAATATATAGGATTAGAGGTAACATGGTTTTCCGTTGGGCTTGAAACTAAGCTCTGCTGGGTTTTATAAATCAAACTAGCAGTATGTGTACATAGTACTTAAACTCTATGCATGTGCAGTAAGTATTGTTTTTTCTTTAATTGATTGAATGCTAAATATTCTAAACTATATCTTTTTACAATACAACACTAACAATGTTTAATTTTCTACATTATTGACCCCCTTTAAATTCAACAGCTAAACTTTGTTCGATTTTACCTCCCCCTGCTTATCCATGAACATGAAAAAGTGATATATCTTGACGATGATATCATTGTTCAAGGTAAGTTGTCTGTCTATAAAATACTGCGCATAAGGTTAATCTTTTTTTAAATCAACATTTGCAGGTTTATTTACAATCACCATAAATAACATTGCTATTACTTTACTTTGTTGAGTGTCAGGATGTTTAAATTGACAGGAATCCCTGTACCTTGCAGGTTGCTGCACCCAAAGTTTGACTAATAAAATCTAACAGAATCCTCTGCATAGAACAGTGATACTTTTGGGGGGAAATGTGTTTGTTTGTTTTTCAGGTGACATCCAAGATCTATATGACACACAGTTGAACCGTGGCCATGCTGCAGCTTTTTCAGATGACTGTGACTTGCCTTCAACTCATGAAATGGTTAGAAGTGTAGGAATGCAGGTATGAAGTCTTTGCAATACAAATATTCGGGATGCCTTTATCTAGGATTCCTACTATTTTTTTTCTCTCTCTTCTTCACAATACTCTCAGCTAAGGCAGTACTGCAAGATGTGGTGGCTTAGTTTGCTGATATATCACTAGTATAGGAGGAGCTTGAGGTATTTTTAGGGCTCAAGGGGTTGCTCTAAAAGGAGCCTCAAGATCATTTTGGAATGTTGCATTGCCAAGCAGCTCCATACATCAGTGTGCAAACTTCAGCAGCTACATATATGGCAGGCATTAATGGAGAGTCTTGCCCTACCTAATTACTTTGACATGGGTTTCCATCTTTTTTGCTTTGCATTGCCATTGACTGCCCAGCATGAAATGTCTTTTGGGTTTATTTTTCACATATATGGAATGGTCTTAAGACTTTAAAATCCAGCATAAATTCACAAGAGCAGCAGAAACTCTTGATTTCAGGTCATTGTTATACAGTATTAACATCTACTTTAGCAGAGTTTCAGATGACAAAACCTGGGAGCATCTTTATCTATACAGTGGTGCCTTGCTAGACGGTTACCCTGGATGACAGTTTTTTCGTTAGACATTGACTTTTTGCAATTGCTATAGTGAATTGCAAAACAGTGATTCCTACGGGGGGAATTTCGCTGGACAATGTTTGGTCCCTGCTTCGCAAACCGATTTTCGCTAGATGACAATTTTGACAGCTCCCTCCGTGCTCGCAAAACAGGTGTTATCAGGACCTAAGCTTCTCAAGACAGCGATTTAAACAGCTGATCGGCGGTTCGCAAAGCGGCCTTCCTATGGCTGATCTTCGCTAGACAACGATGATCCTTCCCAATTGGAACACATTAAACAGGTTTCAATGCATTCCAATGGGGAAATGCTTTTCGCTAGACAATGATTTCACTAACCAGCGATTTCAGTGGAACGGATTATCATCGTCTAGCGAGGCACCACTGTATTTAGCAACCAATGCCGAAGGCTCAAGACAACAGAAGAGTTACTTTCTGGAGTCTCTCTCTTGTGGATTTTGAATTACAGTACACACGTCAGTAAATTTTCCATGTCTGGAACCTGAGGCGAGCAAGTGCTGTCAGCCCAACTACTCAGTAGACAAAAGATGCCTGAATTAATAACATCTTAATAAGATGAATGAACTGGCTGGATAACTCAGTGAGTTTGATAGAGGTTGGGAGTTCAATTCCCCTGGAAAAGAGCCACCCTCTGTGGCCTTGGGAAAGCTGCAGAGTCCCAGGGCGCCCCTAGAAAAAGGGAATGATAAACCACTTGTGAATATTCTACCTAGAAAACCCTGAAAAGGGTTGTGATAAGTTAGAATTGCCAGCATATTATTATTAGGATGAATAATTGTGTCTTTCTTCTCTCTAGAACACCTACATGGGATTTCTGGACTACCGAAAGCAAACAATCCGAGACCTTGGCATAAGTCCCAGCACCTGTACCTTTAATCCTGGTGTCATTGTTGCCAATATGACAGAATGGAGACACCAGCGAATCACAAAGCAGTTAGAAAAATGGATGCAGAAAAATGTAGAGTAGGTAGAAACAGCTTTCTCTTTTGAATTATCCTGAACTAATAATATCTGAGCTGTATTTTATCTTGAGACTCTCGTGGTGTAGTGGGTAGAGTGATGGACTAGCACTCAGGAGAGCTGTATTTGAATCCATGGAAGCTCACTGGGGCAGGGTGGAACTGGCAAAAACACTCCTTAAATATGTTGCTTACCTTGAAAGCCTTACTGGGGTAGTAGAAATGGTTTGTGACTTGATGGCACATAACACAGACATGCACACACGCACATATTTTACATTGCTTTGCTGTACTTGTGAAGTATATGTTCATTACATTAGCAGACTAACAAATGTAGTACAAACACTAGCTGGTACCTTGTTCAGTATTTACAGGTGCTGAGTTCTAATGGCAGGTTTCCCTGTAGTGCAATCAAGACAGTGTGTGGCCACTACCTCTTCAGATTGCCATAGCAGCTTCTGCAGTTGGAGCGCCATGCATGTAAATATTGAATAGGATAACATCAGTCAGTGAGAAATACACTGAGAATCTGAATAAATCCCTAATGGTGATACTAATAGCTTTCTGTGCAGAGTAGGTTGGTGTTACAGTGCTTGATTTTGCAAAGAGAGGCTTGTTGCTTTAAGATTTTTAAAAAGTGGTTCTAAGAGACTACCAGTTTTTGAGCCATCAAGTTGTCGGAATATCTGTTGTATGAAAGCAAGTGGAAGCAATTCCTATACTTTAGCAGCATCCTTTAGGAAATAAAATGCTTGAGCAGGGATCAAAATTCCAAATGTTCTTTTCCATTTCTCTCAATGAATCGTTCTATGTCTTGTTCTTTACTGCTTTCCCACCTTAAGTTATTCTGGGTGCTATTAAAAACACAAACAGAACATTTGACATTTGGGAAAAAAATATTTTTCAGAGAAAATCTGTATAGCAGCTCCCTTGCTGGAGGTGTGGCTACTTCGCCAATGCTCATTGTATTCCATGGAAAATATTCAGCAATTAATCCTCTGTGGCATATTCGGTATCTAGGTAAGTTTTATAGAAGTTAAATAATGCTGCAAAATATCCCCAAATGCCTGTTAGGATTATGTTGCATATAACCTTTTCCCTGCACATTATGAAACATTAGTGAATTAAACAATAGACACATTTGTATAAAAGCGTATGTGCAAAGTAAAAATAAAATCAGAAAAAAATTGTGTAAAGTTTATATTTGAGTCATCAACTAGACCTGAGCTTGCTTGCTAGCTGGTGTGTGGGTGCATAGTTTCACATTTTTGCTGTGGTACACTATTTAACACACACTCAGAAGTTGCATTTATGTATTACTGAAACCAGGGTGTGTGGGTGCATAGTTTCACATTTTTGTTGTGGTACAGTATTTAACACTCTGAAGTTGCATTTATGTATTACTGAAACCATTATTTTCAGCTATGCATGTCCTACAAAGGGATGTAGGCAAATTAGCATTCACTGGATTGTGCTTTTGTAATTTTGTAAAACCAATGCTGCTTTTCACAGTAGGTCATAAAGACGTGTTTCCTAGCAATAGTTAATTAAAACCATGGAGCATGACTCACCCATAGGTAATCTGGCAATATAACTGGAAGTAAGTCTCACTGAATTAAGCAGGACTTAATATTGAGTATATATGCTCACACTGTGATGTAAATTTCAGTGGAAGAGTTAAGCAGGTGCTTGGGGTGGGCTGGATTCCATCATAATTGATTGCTCTGCAAAAAGGGTGAGTAGTTTTCAATCCAGGACTCTACAAAATCAACTTTACTTTTTGACTTATACAGGATGGAGTCCTGATGCCAGGTATTCAGAGCATTTTCTTCAGGAGGCCAAGTTACTTCACTGGAGTGGAAGATACAAGCCTTGGGATTACCCTAGTGTCCACACTGACCTATGGGAAAAGTGGTTTGTTCCTGACCCTTCAGGGACTTTTAAACTGATTCGTCCTAATAGCTGATGTCATTTCCATTGTGCAAAGTATACAGTATCTTTCTTGTGATGTGGTTGGTCACCTTTGTTGTATAGAGAGCTAAACTGCATGAGAACAGTGCAAATCACCAAAGGTGTTCATGGGACGTCTCAGAATGAAACCTAATGAAGAGTACAGTGAGGCTGTGATGAAGTATGCAGAGTTCAGAAAAGCTTCAGTTTGAAGTCTTGCAATGAAGACTACCATGTTTAGGGAAGGTTACTCATACAAAACATGGATTTCCTTTTTCAGCTGTGCTCTGTAAATACATATTGTTTTGACTGAGCGAACATTTGTAACATTTTTAAAACAAAAGGTTTTGTTAAGTACATTTTCTGTAGTCAATAAAAAACTAAAACTCAGATTAAACATCAACTCTTTTATTCATTTCAAATAAGTTATCAGTTTTTTTTCCCAACAGCACAAATCATTTATTATTAAGACTTTTAAATAATGCTACAGTTAAGCACCAGCAGATAACGGCAACAATTCCATTCTGTTGCAAGAAACTGGCATGGCAGGAGTATTAAGTACAATTTCAAAGCACCATGTTTGAGAATAGACATGTATTCACATATCATTAACCTTCTGCTGTGCATTTTATTTCTAATGGATAGCTCAGAGAGTTGCAGCACCTAGAGTTTGATTCCCCACAGTGCCAGAAGAACAGTCAGCTTGTGTGAGCCTCAGACAAACTGCCAGGTCCTAGAGTGCCACTAGAAGGAGAAACTGGTAAACCACTTCTGATCACTTTATACCTAAAAAAAAATCCTGCCATATCAACCAACTGGATGGCACATAATATTATTCAAAACAAGATCTTCCCTTTTCACGTTTTCAATGGTTACTACTGGGCTAGCTAACACAGTAGTTACTAGCTATAGTAATAATTTCCTTAAAAATATCATTTCAGGTCCCTGATGCAAGGCACTTCAAGCACTTGCAAGAAAATATTCATGTAAACAGTGATGCATTAAAAAAAACCTAAGGCTGTGATCCTGAAAATATTTGCTAAGGAGTCCATACCACATATGCAGGCTTCTGCTGCAAGTGAATAATTTAACAGATTCTTGACCTTTTTAATGAACAGTTTCAACAGAGATTGACATGATCAGAATATACATCTTATTCTCAACTTTTGAAAAAGAGGATCTGAGCACTGAAGCACACAATTTTGGAATAACCATAACTCTTTTACTAAGCAGTAAGTTAGAACATTCTTATAATGTTCCAAAGCTGCTAAAAGGATATGAATCTATTGCAAATGTGTTGACTCAACCTAGCGCTAACATACAAGGGATTTTTAAATAAACCAGGCAACTTGGGATGCAGATTAATAATGATTTCAACTACATATACATTATTGAGACACAGTCCCTGTACAGAATTCAAGTATCCTTACAGCATGATTGAACGACTATCAAAACTGGCTGAACCCCCTTATTGCTTTTTCTTTTAAGTCATTCCCCACTCTTGTAACAAAAGGGGTAGGGGTAGAAGGAAGCAAAATATTTCAAGGTAACTGTTCCTGATATTACCTGACCTTAGAACGAAAATGAGAAAGATCCATTTATATTACAGATTCAGCATCTGCAGGCAAAAGATTTTAATAAAAAAGGATTAATGGGCCCTTATGGACTTCTAGCCATTTTTTGCCAAGCCACAGAGAACGCTACAGCATGTGGGAGTCCACATATACTTTTTATTTCCCGAGTGTGCTGCTGTACTGCCTCTATGAGAGTCGACATTTGGGGAGGGAAAGACAGTGCAAGTTCTATTGAAGTTGCACCTGGAATGCAAGCAGATCACATGTCCAAGCCTTGAGGAAATGTTTCAGAAATTATTAACTAATCAGTTTCCTTGTGCATTCGTCTGGCTTCCTTACACTTAATATTCCTTTTAAAATGACTGCTATTCTCATCAGCAAGATGCATTATACTATTTCTCCTATGGTCAAGCAAGACTCGTAATTAAAATCTGATAACATTTTTTTTCCTTCCAGCAATGTTATTCCTACAGGTCTGTGTGCCTAAAGAATCAGACTTGCAGACTAAGCCAGTTTTACATCCTGAAGACCATCCACAAAACAAATCAAGATAACAAGGATGATATAGAGGTGGTAAAATCCCATGATAGGACAGATATATTTTATCATTTAAAGGAGCTGCTTTTAAACATAAGCTGAGCATGTCATAGAGCCTGACCCCTGGAAAAGGAAAAATATTTATTTTTGGTGGTTCTCCAATTTAGTCTAAGTTCTCCAACAGCAATAAATGCTTCAGTTCCTAAGATTATTCTACACGTTGTTTACCTATTACTGAAAGAGTCACAGAATTAGCAGAAGGGAATGAACAAAATAGTATTTCAAAGGCCAAGGAAACAAGCACTGAGGACTGATGTGACATGGATGCATCAGAAACTGGGACTCTGGTGCAGGAAGCTGGCAATAAGAGGGAAAATAACATGGAAGCAGACGGAGGGAATGACACCTGGTTCCAAATGTCTCTATACCAATACAATGAGCAAGCAAAACAAACAAGGAGAGCTCCAACAGTTAACACAGGAAGACAAATATGAATTAATAAGCATCACTGAACTTGCTGGGATGAGACATATGACTGGAATGTAGTGAATAAAGGCTGTAACTTATTCCAAATGAAGATACTGAACATGAAGGGAGAAGCATTTTATCTAAAAATCATGTACAACTGTGTAAAATGTCTGCTAGCAGCTAGATGATGCAATGGTTAGTGGATTTATAGCAGACATGTTCAGACAGTGATTGTTAATGGTACTTTGTCAAAGAAGTGAGAAGTGGTTGCCACAGAGTTCCATTCTAAGCCTAATGTTGTCTAATATCTTAATTAACAAATTGAGGTAGGGCATTGAGGGAATGCTGTTCAAAACTGAGGCTAAAAGAAATCTTGGGAGGAGTGGCTAATATGTGAGAAAACAGACTCAGGATTCACAACCATTGTAACAGATGGGAGAACGGGGCCAAAACAAGCACAATGCGTCTCAACAGAGAAAAATATAAATTCCTATATTTAGGCAGGGCAAATCATATGCAAAACAAGATGAGTGACAACTTGTTGGTCTCCAGGGTGTCTTAGTAGACTACAAGCTTAACATGAATCAACAGTGTGACACAGTAGCAAAAAAGCAAATGCAGTATTTTCTAGATCGAGGGAAGTAATAGTACCAATGTGTTCTGCTTAGGGCACACCTCAGCTGGTATACTGTGCCCAGTTCTGGGAACAAAGGTTTAAGAAGGATACTGACAGCTGGAATATGTCCAGAGAAGGGCGACGAGATGCTAATAGGTATGTAAATCATGCTCTATGAGAAATGTATGCTGGAGCTGGGTACATTTAGTCTGGGGAAGTGAACAATTGAGAAGGAATATTGTAGGTATCTTCAAATATTTGAAGGGCTGGCACTGTCATGCCCCACCTTATTAAGTCATCTGTACCACTCTGAGCGGCTGTACCATTGAGAAGGAATATTGTAAGTATCTTCAAATATTTGAAGGGCTGACACTGTCATGCACCACCTTATTGTTTTTGAGGGAGAGGGATCTTGTGAAGCTAGAAGAGAGTGATGTAGAAGAAGTTATGGGAGCAAAACACTTCAAAGAGAAACCTTCAAGGATGAAGAGGGCAGGAAAGATGTCCACGGGCGAGAAAGAGGTTGAAGAAAAAGGCTCAGCATCTCAAGGTTCCCTGGTTGCTAATTAGAAACAGCCGGACATCAAGGAGGAGCTAGCAGAGAACTATTGCTTCTGGACCGGCTGACAGCAGAGCCTTTGTGGGAGATGATGTCTAAGTTCACTTCTGCTTGTCAGGAGTTCTTGAACATCTGTTGAAATGGCTGACCGTGACTGTGCCTCCACCTGATCACTATTGTGAAAGTGACTGACTTACTGGACTAGGCCAGTGGTTCCCAAGCTTTTTTGAGTCACAAGCCCCTTTTATAAATAGCCGTGTAACCTATGACCTCCCATGTTTGCATAAAAAGGCATTTTTAAATGGGGTAAAGTCATCTCTTCTTAGGAAGTAGAGCCTTCCTTCTCCCTCCAGAGGGCCTGTTTTTCATATATACCTACAGAAACTAACTAATATCTCACTCTTAAAGGTAAAGGAAGAAATTATTTAACAAAGACTACAACACACATAAAGTGACCCACAACCCCCCCAGAAAACATTCTGTGACCCCCTTGGGGGTCATGACCCCCAGATTGGGAAAGACTGGACTAGACCCTGCACCACAGCCTGTCCCTACCTTCCTGCACTTGAAAAAAGGACCAGCTTAGATTATGCTGCTTATTAACCACCACAGTCATGTGGAAGATGGAGCAAGCTTGTCTTCTGTTGCTTCAGTCATTCCACCCCCCTGATATGAATTAAGGGGCACAGTCACTAATGTTGTCTAATATCTTAATTAACAAATTGAGGTAGGGCATTGAGGGAATGCTGTTCAAAACTGAGGCTAAAAGAAATCTTGGGAGGAGTGGCTAATATTTGAGAAAACAGACTCAGGATTCACAACCATTGTAACAGATGGGAGAACGGGGCCAAAACAAGCAGAAAAACATAAATTCCTATATTTAGGCAGGGCAAATCATATGCAAAACAAGATGAGTGACAACTGGATATGAATTAAGGATATGAATTAAGGGGCGCAGTCCCTGCAAAAGAACTGCTTTTGAGCTTACTTAGTAATCATGTGCTTCAGCCCAAATCATTCTCAGTCAGAAAGATCACACATTAAATTTGCAGTAATCAACTCATGTACATCAATGCATGCATAAACCAGGACTGCTTCTTGGGGGGGGGACGTGACCCCCTTAAAACTATTTTCTAGGGGGGTCCCCTAGAAAGCAGCTGTCTCTCACACAATAGGTAAAACTGAACATCTACTGCTCTGTAAGGACCATACTGGACAGTAACTTGTTCTGTCATCCTCCAGCAAGAATACTATACTTCAAACCAACTTTTCCTCCCTTCATGTGTAGCAAACCACATACAAAATATCCCAGCACATGAAGGTCTGGAAGAGAAATATAAATTCACATATTATGTTGCAAAATACAGATTTAAAACAAACAAAAGTGGGTTGTCGCAAATGAAGAGTCCATTTCCTAAAATTACACCTATGGAAGGGTTTAAATAGAAAAGTTTCCCAGAAAAAGAAAAATGAAATATTTTATTTTAAAATTCATTTCTTTAAAGTGACCTAATTCATAGATCTAAATCTAAAAACACAAATGGTTATCAAAAAGAGAGAAAAAAAAGGAAAATGCTCTTAAAATGCTTCAGTTGGGGAACTGAGGTACCATTCTTTACGAACACATTTTTTAAAAAAACGACAGCACTTAGGTTGACTTAAAACACGGATCTTAAGCATTGTTTCCTTCCTCTTGTGGTCTAGAGTTGCTGAACTCTGGAATCTGGTCAGTGAAAGACTGTGCCATCCATTGTCCATTTGGGACTTCTCCAAAAGATAGACCACTGCCGTACTCTGTGCTGGTTGCTGTATTTATAAAAAAAAAGAGTACAATCATTCGAGTAATATTATTTTTTATTCACACAGGGCTCTAGGACGGCTTAGGGAGAAAAACATTATCCTGAAATATTCCAGTTACATGTTTTCACCCTGTGAGGTAGGAGATTTACCTACAACCATGAAGAGAGATTTTTACTCCTTCCTAAGGCCTTTTGGATTCTGACATAGGATCATAAAACTGCACCCAAAGGGAAGCAATCCTTCTACATTAAGAAGCATAGATTAAAAATAAAAGGAAACAAAAAATCCTCCATACTCTACCTGCTCCATTTGAAGAGAAGTTACACTGTTCACTATCGATGACTGTTTTCTCACCATAAGTTCCTCCATAGGCTGCTTCATAACCTGGATCATATTTTTCTTCTTTAACAGCCATCTTCTTAGCCTCCTCTGGATTTAAAAAAAATCAAGCTATGTCTCTTTCTATTGCATGATCAAACAAAGAGTTTTCCAAGAGAACAATACATTTGGACTATTAGGAGATGATTCAGTTAAACCCCGAATCTTTGAATTCATTAGCAAAATAATTTCCAAAGTACTTTTAATTTGGTACTTGTTCTTTCAATAAGTGTTGCAAGAACCTAACGGAGTCTTGCAATAAATTTTTCCTCTATTCACAATCAAAATTCATATTCACTGCAGTTTTTCAGTTCATGGCAGTGACCAATTATAGACTTATTTTAGTTATGCGTTGCTAGATATTTTGAGCACAGAGATTTTTAGTTCACATACTGTACCTTGTGCAAGCTGTAAGTCAAATGTGTACTGAACTTCTTGAACCTCTGTGTTTTGTGTGATACCCTTCAGTTGATCCCTGAGATCTTTGAGCTTTATGTAGTAATGAACTTTATCTTGCGCACGAGGAAACTGAGCACATCTTGCACTTGATGATGGCATAACATAGCAAAGCTTTATAGAAAAATTAATGAAACAGCAAGCAATGTTAAATCAGAAGTTACAAATTGATGGACATTTTAAAGCACTGATTCTATTTGTTTCAAAACGTCTAAAATCTCAGTCACAATTAGTACAATCTCAAATGCCAGGTTAATAACTATAGTGCTAAATGAATATCCTGTAAATATAAATAAGAGGGTGCATTTTAAAGAAAAAGATAATCGCATTTTAACAAGTGCATATTACAAATGAGAAGATCTTGTGCTTGTATTCCTAAACATGACAGGAACTTACTGTTTCTGTGTCTGGGACTTTATGTGGCTGCAGTCCAAATTCAAGCTTTTTAACTTTCACTCCAAAAACCTCTTTACTAAAAATATCATAAATACCTACAGTGAAATCAGAGATCAATACATTAGTCACAATACAAGACCAATGGAATCAAAATAAAGTTGATGGAGTAAAAACTCACATTTCCCATTAAAAACTGCTATTTTAGGTTGATACTTCTGCAATTTCTGAACCAGAATGCGTCCTCCTTCCCGAAACTCTTTGCTGAAAGAGACACAAATAAAAATAGGACCGCAACTAACAGAGATCTACTTTATGATATTCGAATGTTACTATACCTGGAAAGATCCTTGCTACCTGGTGTTGTCCTTTCCACCATGTTTGTAAATCCAATTCCATACTTATGTGGCAAAGTGTGGTCATCCATATGATTCAACTGCTCATCACTTAACCCAGACATAAAAAGACACTTCCCTATGGACCATAAAATACATTTTTGGAAACATACACATCACAAATTGCAATGTTTGATAAAACTATAAAATATGATGGCCGTTATCATATGGGTTTTATTTGTAGTTAACATTCTATCACTTCCATGGTGACCAATACTTTAAAAACAAACGGCTATTAGCTCTTTCATTCTATGTTGTGATGTACAGTTTGCCACATAGTTTGCTGTAGATATTCATGTAAGGAGGTTGCACAGTCCTTATCCTATCCTGTTGTCTATCTCTGCTTGGCATTCCACTTTTTGGAATGAGTGCTAATTTATACCACCTTACCGGCTCGCTATCTCATCTATGTAACTGTTCACTACGTCTCTTCCATCAGAAGCCAAATGCTGGTCACAATCCTATCACAAAAACAGCCCCATTGTGGACACTTTTAAAATCTGAAAAATCTAGATTAGTGTTGATATTCTTGAATGCCAAAAGAGCATCACAGAAGGTACTTACAGAAGTGGTTTCCAGGCCCTGGATAATGATGGCCTTTATAGGCTGCCATTAAGCCAGGGTTTATTCCAATCTAGAAAAAAAGGAAACATCAGTAATGTCATAATTTATGTTTATAAACTATATTTTTATTGATAGGCCTCTTGGAGATAATGATTATTAACAACAACAACAACAACAACAACAACAACAACAACAACAACAATAAATATGCTGTCAAGTCAATTCTGTGTTACAGAGACCCTTTTCCAGGGTTTACTTGGCACAGAGTACTCAGAAGTGGTTCATCATTTCTTCTTCCAGGGGCACTCTGAGACAGTGCCTCTCAGTACTTATTATTCAGATTTTATTTTATTATATCATCGTAACAGAATAAAATGAAATCTGAATGATAAATAAAATGAGACATTACAAAAGGAATACAAAGTGCAGAACACACAGAGCCATATTTATTTATTTTATTTATTTATTTATTTGATTTATACCCCGCCTATCTGGTCCAAACGGACCATAGCCCTGTGAGTTGCTGGAACAGGCTTATTGTGGCATACACAAACTTCCATGAACGGCGCGTGAAATTCTCAAATTGTATCTCTGGCCTCAATATGGTAAATAGGAAAGCCAATTAGATTTGCATAAGCCTGGGAGTTAGGAAAGTTTTAAGGATCAAGGCCCTGGATAATGATGGCCTTTATAGGCTGCCATTAAGCCAGGGTTTATTCCAATCTAGAAAAAAGGAAACATCAGTAATGTCATAATTTATGTTTATAAACTATATTTCTATTGATAGGCCTCTTGAAGATAATGAAAATCAACAACAACAACAAAACAACAACAACAACAATAAAAAATATGCTGTCAAGTCAATTCTGTGTTACAGAGACCCTTTTCCAGGGTTTACTTGGACAGAGTACTCAGAAGTTGTTCATAATTTCTTCTTCCAGGGGCACTCTGAGACAGTGCCTCTCAGTACTTATTATTCAGATTTTATTTTATTATACCATTGTAACAGAATAAAATGAAATCTGAATGATTAATAAAATGAGACATTACAAAAGGAATACAAAGTGCAGAACACACAGTGCCATAGCCCTCTGAGTTGCTGGAACAGGCTTACTGTGGCATACACAAACTTCCATGAACTAGTCATTAGATGCATGACGTGCTGTCCTCAGCTGGCACATTTGTATATTGGCAGGAATCCTATTGGTGTAACTTATGCCATGCAAGCTGGACCATTTAATTTAAATTAATTAATTAGTTTCCTATCCCCACCCCTCTGATTCTGAGGCTCCTTTGGGCTCTAATTTGTGCTGTGGGAAACCTCTGGAAGCCTTGGGATTCTGGGAGATGGCCTTGAACAGTCAGACATTGATGCTGGAGTGCCACCAGCAGTCCCAATCCCAGTGGCAGTGACTTCCCACTATTAAAGGCTCCTCCAGCCCAACCTGAGGCTCTCAAAGACTTCCTCAGAACAAAAGTAAGCCCCAGGTAACTTTGGAGCCTGAAAGGGAAAGGGGATCTTTTGTTGATTAATGTAAATATCCCCACCACTAGATAACGTTATCAAGCCTGCACAGCATAAAGCCATGCAAGAGGATTTCAACCAATGTGTGCATAGGTGCACCTATATGTACATGCACTCTCACATTGGATAATGTGTGAGAGTGCATATACATATATGTACACACACACTCGAGGGAGGAAATGTTAAACTGGGATTTGAAAAGGCTGTGAAATGCAGGAGGAAAGAGAACGTTTGTGAGGAGGAAATGTTAAACTGGGATTTGAAAAGTCTGTGAAATGCAGGAGGAAAGAGAAGGTTTGTGACAGTCTTGTGCAGCACCCAAGATGCACAGGAGAGCAGAGTATCCCTGCTGCAACGAAAGAACATCCACCCGCGGGCATTTTTTCAGGAGGCTGCTACCTGAAATGTTTGAAAATGTTATTTTATAAATGTAAGATTCTTGCATTTGACTTACAATGACAATATCCAAATTGAAGGTTAGTATATCAGGAAGAGTTTTGGTCAACAATTCAGCTTCAGATACACCATTAAACCGATCTACTTTCCTTTTGACTTTGAAGGAATCTGTAATTTTCTCCTGTTTTCCTTTTGACTTGGCAACTTTCGCTGCAGGTTTTTTGGGTTCAGATTTACTTTTTCTTTTCCTCCCTTTAGCAGGTGCTAAAAGACAAAAGGACAGTACTTTCTATAGCATAGTTTCTAATGGTAATGGTATAAGAAGCCTTAAACAGTGTTGGTATGAAACATAAATTAAATTTAAACTTCTAAATGAACCATACACCTATCAGCTATATACTGTACTTTCCAATGACAGCCTTGGAGACTGGGAGACTGTTTGCCAACTTCACATCTTGCCACTGTGTTTGTTATGTTAAAAGAGGGCAATGCTTTTTTAGTGCAATTGAGTTGGACCACTTTTCTTTCAATATTTACTCTTCGACAACTTCACCACTGACAGCTATAAGCTCACTTTTAAAAAGACCTGCAATTTAATATCTAGGTATAGACTCTTGACAAGATTACCAAAGGGTAATGAAAAATACTTCCATGCTATAACCAGGCCATGTGAATTTCTCTCATTTTTGCAACAAATCTCATTAAATATTATTCAGACCTCTGCAACACCCCAAGATATTAACCCAAAGTAGCTCAAAAATTTGACAACCCACCATTTTTAATATAGCTGTAAAGTATTCAGATGTGGTCCAGTGTATAACCACTAACAAATAAAACAGTCCCCCAAACCCCTATGGGATTTCTTTCTAGACTACCAAACCCAAAGACCTGTCAAAAAGTGCACAAGGAAAATAAAAGGTTCAAATACATTTACTTAACTATGTTCCACGTAGTTCAATGTAATATACTACTGTAATGTAAGCAGGAACCTCAAGCAGGTTACCTGAAGCAATGCCTGCATCATATAATCCTATCTGAGTTTAAAGTCAGCCAGGGAGGCCCTTCTGAGACCGCCATAATTGGTGAAAGTTAAAAACTCTATAAATGATCAGAGGACTTCCTTGGCAATAGTATTCCAGCTGTGGAACACTTTCTTCCTGGAGCAATAGCTGTTTCTTGCATTCTACATTTTTTAGTGCCAGTTAAGGTTCTTTCTTTTTCAGCAGGCCTTTGGACTAATGGCCACCCAGGTCTAGAAACTGCTGTACTTCTGTTCTTTTCAAAACTGCACTTCTTCTTCTTATTGTTGTTGTACTCTGCTCTAAGATGGCATGCAACAAGGGGCAGGATATATTTTTTTTAAAAAAATAACATGGCCAGGAACTAACAGAAGATTCTACATGAATGGATCCAGACGTCCTTCCCCATCCAGAGCTGGCAAATAGATACACCCCTTGTCTATTCACCTCTAGTCTGCCCCACCATGTGAAATTCTGCATTAAATGGTTTCTGTGTCCTCAATTCTGAAGATGGTGGAAGTTGCATGGGTGGTAGAAGAACCTTTCTCTTTGACTTCCCTTCCTCCCACCAATAAGACTCACTCAGCTCATAGTTACAGTTTTTAAAAGGAATAGCTGCCTTGACAGTCTGAGACCAAAATATTACATTATAGTGTGGACAGACTATATGAATTGCTCCTGTGAAAACTCTGAACTTTGCTATAGAACTATGATGTTAAAAACATACTCTTTTAAAAAAAAATCTATACTAATGGTTGTTTTGTCAAATATTAGAAAAGAATATACAAGCTCAAGCCACAGGCATCTATACATATTTTTTCTGACCAAACTTCTTTCAATTTATTCGCGAAGGCTTTCACTGATGTTAAAAACATACTCTTTTAAAAAAATGTCTATACTAATGGTTGTTTTGTCAAACATTAGAAAAGAATATACAAGCTTAAGCCACAGGCATCTATGCATGTTTTTCTGAGCAAACCTCTTCCAATTTCTTGGAAGAATTAACCTACCCGAAAAACCCACAACAACCATTCTTCCAATTTCTTGGAAGAATTAACCTGGAAAGACTGTAGCAACTCCATCTCCAAGACTGAAACTATCCCACTATTTTCAGAAATTTCCCAAATAAATTTATTCATTCATTCTCAGAAATTTCCCAAATAAATTTATTCATGCATTCATTCATTACTTATTGTGTTTGAAGGGCAAAAATTAAGATACCTGGAACAGGTTCTTGAACGGGGTTTGCATCCAAAATTCCTTGAAGAACCTCCTGATCATTCATCATCTCCATGTCTGGAGTTGCCGTCATCATTTGATGGAAAGGAAAAGGATAAAATGCTGGCTGAAGAGGAGTGTAGTATCTTTTTTGGGGGGAAATAAAGTAAAAAATATTGCCCACTCAAACCATATCATCTGGACAAAATTCTCATGGTTATTTTGCATGTTGCTTGCTTGTTTGTTTACTATCAAATTTCTAAAAGGGTTGCTTCCCAAAATAATTTTTCAGTTAAGCGAATTGTAGTGTTACATTTATTGTTCATACTACTTGTGAAAACAAGATGCAACATCAGTTAGTCTGGAGAACAAATGATGGACAAGTCAATAAGTTCTAACAAAGCATATACTGTGGTGGTTCAGGCACTCAACAAGGAAAATCCTGCAAAGAGAGTGTCTTGGTAGATGGAAGATAATGAAACACTGGATATTTACCAAGAAAGTGCATTCTGAAATGTGCAAAAGGAAGAATCTACACAGAATGAATTTCATCGATCCTCAGTAAAGAGGCAGGGAGTCACATAGCCAAAATACTAATGGTTGTTCAGATCCCTAAGAGCCCTCCTCTATGTTCTGGTCTACAGCCAAGATCCAGATTAGAGCAAAGAAGATAAACACAAAGAAATAAAGGCAAAAAAAGAGAAGTAATTACATCAGCAGATCCATCAGAGAAATAATGCCTGGAGAATGTGGCTTCCAAAGCCAGCATCCACAGATTGGTGTTTAGCAATCTTACAGAATCAAATAAATGTGGAGGCAGGATGTGCCATCAAGTATAATGGTCTTGGAAACTTTGTCATAAGATAATGCCTTGATTCACTGTGCTAGGATGACCCTAGACATTTACTCCCCCCCCATTAAACTAACTAACTAACTAAGCTGGATGATGACACACAAAAGAGGTACACCAGAGAAAGTACTTAAGTTCCAGAACGGGGTGTGCTGGGAAATTTTAGCATAGTCACAGTTAAAGGTAAAGGTTCCCCTTGACATTTAGTCCAGTCGTGTTCGACTCTAGGGCATGGTGCACATCCCCATCTCCAAACCGTAGAGCCAGCATTTGTCCATAGATAGCTTCCATGGTCATGTGGCCAGTGCGACTAGACATGGAACACCATTCCCTTCCACTGAGGTGGTACCTATTTATCTACCTGCATTTACATGCTTTCGAACTGCTAGGTCGGCAGGAGCTGGGACAAGCGAAGGGAGCTCACTCTGCCGCCTGGATTCGATCTAACGATGGCTGGTCTTCCGACCTTGCAGCATAGAGGCTTCTGCCGTTTAACCCGCAGCGCCACCACATCTCAATATAGTCACAGTTAAAGAAGGTCTATTTGAATCAATGGAACTTTCAAAGGTGTTGACTCACCAAATTTCCTACTGGTTCAATGGGCCTATTCTAATACAATTTACAATGCCAAACAACAGGATTTTGGACAGCATATGTCATGACCTGTGAGGCTTTGCTTTCAAAACTCCATTGTGAAGGTTTTCAGAAATTCTGAAAAATAAACTCACAGGCCTTGCTCTAATACTACATCAGTAGTACAGTGGGGTCTTGACTTGAGAACTTAATCCGCATTGGAAGGCGGTTCTCAAGTCAAAAAGTTCTCAGGTCAAATCTGCATTTCCCATACGAATGCATTGAAAACCATTTGATCCGTATCTGCTCTTTTCCGTCCATAGAAACTAATGGGAAGCTGCTATTCTGCCTTCGACCACTAGAGGGGGATATTTTGTTTCTTTTTTTCTTAGGTCAAGAAAGGTTCAGGGAAGGCAGGGAAAATACAGTCCAGGCAGTACAGTACCAGGCAGTCCGAAGACTGTCTCCCAATCCACTCTCTAAACGCTGGGAGGAGTGAGGAAGCAGACAGGCACCCTTTTCACTGGCCAACAGTTAACTGAAAGTTCACATTTTGCACTTTCCCTGCCTCCCACGTGGGTTTTTTTTCAGTTCTTAACTCAAATCTAAGTACTTAAGTCAAGTCAATATTTTCCTATGGGAGCGGTTCTTAAGTCAAAATGTTCTTAACTCAAGCCGTTCTTAAGTCAAGACCCCACTGTACATATAAATACCACAGGCTAATCAATGTTTAATCAATGGTATATATATTTATGTCATGTGTGTGTCATGGTCATGTTATAACTACAGAGCTGGAAGGGACTCCATGGATCATCGAGTCCTACCCCTGTCAAGAGGGGCACAGTGGGGAATCCAACTCCCAATCTCTGGCTCCCCAGCCAAAAACCTGAGCTATGTATCCAGCCAGTGGTTTAGGTGTGTGTACACAGACACACAAGGGATGTGGTGGCGCTGCAGGCTAAACCGCAGAATCCTGTGCTGCAGGGTCAGAAGACCAAGCAGTC